CTTGATACCATTTTGGAGCCTATTGATAAAAATGTTAGTATGCCAAATTCATAATAATTAAGAATATATATGATCTCTAGGGCAAAATTTTATTCCATATCATGTAAACATAAATATTGATACATTATTGATTACGATTTAACTCTCCATTGTGATTCAAATCTCTAGTTTCTCATCAAACATGTAGTTTCTTTCATAGTTTCATTCTTGTTGTGCTGTGATTCATCTTTTCATTGATCTTTAAGTAATTCATTATCCACGATATAACGTTTGATTAAACTTTTCACAAATCATTCAATATAACTCCCTTTTGTACACAATAAATTGGCTCCTAGTGATCATAGTGTCTCTTAGCACTTACTAATTGGGCGCTCATTTTGATATAGTTCTTTATGTGATGTATTGAGCTATTTGCATATATGGCCTTCAACAGCTTGATTGTTCAAATTGTCTTCTTGAAAGTCCAACACCACAGAATCCCAGCGTAGAGTGTGTGCTTTGGACTGAGGATTACAGTGGGCTTCAGTACTAATCTGGCGCGCACAGCGGTACATCTCAGCACTGGAGCTCCCAGCCAAAAAGTCTGAAAATTTCCACGATTTTTGTGCGTCGCTTTTTAGAAAAGTGGTCGCGGAATACGGTTGGGACCGCTCAACTTGGAAGTCACAGTCACAGAAAGGAAGTTTGGTGTTTGGATGTATTATAGCCTGTACAGATTACTAGTATCAGCTTTTGAGTAGAAACTTCAAAACTCAAAGAGTATCTGTACAATTTGGGGTAAATGATTACGTGATTATCATATTAAAACAAAATAAACGTCAATTTTAACATACATAAAGTCAATAATTATACAAATAACATCTCAGTCTCTTTATAGGTCAACTAAATTTAGATAGAAAAACAGGCTTAAGTGGGAACGAATGAATAATCTACCAACCTGGTGGTGGAGGTGTACCTTCTTGACCTTCTTCTGGTTCTGGACTATATCTGAAAGCGACAATTAAAGTACCTTGACCAACTTGGATTTCAACGTCACGAGGACTATCAATAACTTCAGTTAATTTAATACTACCAGTACCAATTTCTTGATCTTTGGATAATCTATGATGAACAACACCACCGAAAACAACTTCAGCATCTTGTGGAGCTTCAAATGTAGTTTCTTCATCCCAATTAATGACTTGATTAACAGCTTTACCAGTCTTGGTCTTATAAATATCTTTTAATTTTTCATTAATGGCTAATGAAACTCTAACTTGAGCATGTCCACTTAAATTAGTTGCTGAACGAATAATCAAAGTACCTTTAGTAACCTTTTTATTTTGAACTTGTGTGGTATAGGTTGATGCAGTTTCTTCATTTTCTTCTTGAGCTGCAGCTAATGCACCACCTTCTTCTTTAGATTTAGTGGATTTAGAATGGCCAGATCTCATAGATTGAACATCATTAGCATATGGGGATCCACCATCTGTAGAACCACGAGGTTGATCTAGTGATTTCTTAGACTTCTTACCAGTAAGAACATTCTTGAATAAGGAACCACCTTTACCAACAGCGCCAACACTGGCACCTACCCCAGCACCAACAACACCAACACCGGCACCTGCAACACCTGTAGCTAAATCACCAGCCATACCGACAGCTTTCAATGGTGCACCTGCGATTGATGACAAGTTGACACCAAATTCTGAAGCGCCGATTTCTGGACGAATATATTCAGGAACAAATGAGACTCTTAGACGAACAGTACCTTGTGGTTGTAATTGAACATGAACAATTTCTGAAGTTAATGGTTTGACATGCGAGATATCAAGACGTGTAGATGCTAATAAATCATTAGAACCAGTTCTATCCCAATCATGAACAGCTAAAACCAAATTACTTCTAGCTCTTGAAGGAATTGGAACAGTTTGACCTTCATTCCAAGTTGGGCTAATGTTTTCTTAACAGGTTTGGTCTTGAATAATTGTAAGCCATCTAATAATAAAACACCAAATGGATCTGATTTACCGTTACGATCATGTGAAGGTAAATCTTCACCATCCAAAAATTCAATTTTTGCCTTACCAGTATCTAAAATAGTTTCAGATGGTGGTAATTTAATAGCAGATGGGATATATTCAAATCTAACATAAATTTCAGCTCCATCAATACCAACACGGATTGGTTCATAATAACCTCTTTGTAATAAATCAATAGTATTATAAACAGATTCCCCAAGAAGATGACTTTTTTCATCAACATTTTGTTTCTTAGTATTTCTGAAAACAATTTTAGAGTTTGGTAAATCACGGATAAAAGCTTCACCAGAATCTGGATTAACATTACGTGCACTTGATCTACCAGAAACATAAGCAGGAGAACCACAATCATCAACAAGGACTTGAATAAAAGTATCAGCCTTCTTAGTTTTACCTTTGGTGATGTTAATACCTAAAGTACCAGATCTATAAGTTAACAATTGTTCAAGAGAAAGTTTTTCTTTAGCATCTTCATTAAATTCATCTTCATCAGCGATTTCAATCCATTCATATTCATTTGGACTTTTCTTATATAAATCATCCCATTCTTTCAATTGTTTAGCTTCTAACTCCTTCTTTTCAGCAATTTTTTCCTTTTTATCATCCAATTCTTTCAATTCTGTTAATGAATAAACTGGAATAGCAGGTAAGAATGAAACAGAATAAGTTAGAGTACCATGAGAACCTTTACCTTTCAAAGCAACATCAGATTTCAAAATCTTGTTGGAACCATCATAAAACAAGTAATTACCTTGTTCATCCTTGTTGATAAATTTACCGATTGGGAAATCACATGAACCTAATGAACGATCTTTACCAAGATTTTGTTCATCCATAACTTCTAAAGAAACATGTTGACTTTGAGATGAGATTGGCAAGTAAATAACTTCATTAAAGTTTGGATCAAGAGTATCAGGATAGAAAACAGTTTGATGTTTTAATCTATTGTTCAATAAGACTTTAACATAAGGATCAACTTTACCAACTTTTTCTAAATTCAATAAATCATGACCTTCTCTCAAGTGTAATCTAGCAACACCGATTGGAGGAACATAATTAGCAGCAGCAGAAACACCACTCAAGGAGACTGGTTTCCAAGTAGCAGTGATACGGACATTACCTTGTGGATTTAATTCAAAAACATCATTACCATCTAAAGTGTTGAAAACTAAAGTATCTAAACTTTCTTCAAATGAAGCAATAATATCTTCATCACTACCACTATCACTAATAACAAATTTAATCTTGGTACTTGATTTTTGAGTAACAAGCATTTCCAAATTTTCTTCCCATGATGGTTCATTAGCACGTTTTAAAGTTCTAAATTTCTTTGTTGATTTACCGTTAACGAAAACTTCAGCTTTAGGATTCAGTTGACCAGTTAAAGAAGTAGTATAATCTAATTTCTTAGCTTGATGAACAACAAGTTTGAAAATACCAACTTCAGTATCAGGAGTTTCAACTTCTTTACTTTCATCTTCAACGGATGATTTTTCACTTTCAATAACAGGGAACCAACGAATATCATAATTTAATGAACCTTTCTTTTTACCAGCTAAATCAATAGCACCAGTCTTATCAACAATAGCTTCAGTTTGTAACAAATCAGCCAATTCAATAAGATGAGAACCAATAAGAGAACCTTTTTTATCTTCCAAAATAAAGTTATGAACCTCAATACTTAATTTTTGCTCTAAACTATTAACAATAATATATTTAGTATCATTCCAACGTGGTGATTTAGTATCAGCTTTAACTTCAGTACGAACAAATTTATCAGCTTCACTTTCCAAATGTAATTGAACATATGGATTGATTTCCTTTTCATTTGACTTCAAATCTTCAGCACCTCTAACGGTAACCGCGACAACACCAATTGCATCTTTAACTTGGGCAGCCATTTGTTCTTCAACATCGACATCTAAATGATTTGGAGCATAAAGCATCGGACCCACATTAGAGTTAATTAAAGTTGTAATTAAAGTTTTCAAACCAGGGACCAATGACATAATATCTAAACCAAAAGTATCACCACCAACTGGTTTCAAACCGAAATCAATTTTTGGAGCTTCTAATAATTGAACAGAGACAATTTTAATATGAGGGAAATTTAATGATAAATTTAAAGTGATTTTAACTCTACCTGCAACAGACATATCTTCAACCAAAATTGGTAATCTTTTAGAAACAAAACCTTTACCAACTCTAACACCAAGTGCAACTTTTGGATCAATTTTTTTATCAATTTGATTCTTGGTCATATCAGAAGTATCATCAGGAGTGAAACTAAAAGCCCAATCCCATTCAACAACATTTTTACCCTTTTTGGTATAAGATTTAATAGAATCAATTCTTGGTGATTTAGAACCTAAAGTAAATTCATCTAAAGTTAAAGCATCAATACCATAACCTGGAGCAACATCCTTCAAGACATCATTAGCAATAGTCATAACAGTTTCAGATAAAGCAGGCATATAGATGACCCAAAATTTAGCTAAAAATGAGTTTAACCATTCCATTGATTCGAAATTTTTTTCTAATCTTTCAGCTGCAGCATCTCTTGTTAAATCATCTCTAATATTTCTAGAGAAACGACGGAATTCAGCACGATAAACAGAAGCAGTACCTAAAAGGACAAACATTAAACCAAAGATACCAAACCCCCATTTAGCGATTAACCAAGAGAAGAAACAAGTACCAATAACTAAACCAGTACTCCAATACCAATCAGAATAAAAAGTTTCAATAATATAAGTTTTGATAATTTGAGCTTCAGTAACAAAAGAAGGATCAAATTTACCCTTTTCTTGAAATCCACCAATTTTTTCCCAAGGAAATCTTTCTTGACTAATTGGTTCTTTAGCTGATCTATCAATAACTTCTTTTGTTGATTTTGATTGTTGTTCAGGTTGTTTTGGAACATTTAAAGTATTACTTCCCTTTGAAGCTTTGACATCACTCAATTTAGAACCAGCTTTGGTAACACCATTAGAGTCACCGTTTAGTACAGATGGATTTTTACCATTTCCATTTCCATTTCCATTAGGAATTGAGTTTAAAGATTGTTTTTGAACACCATTAACTGCATCTTTTGCTGTTGATTGAGCATTTTCTTTATTTATGGGAGCTGCCTTCCCATTAGGCAACTGCTGCGCAGAGTTTTGAGCCTATAAACAGGAGATGTTAGTCAATTGTTATTGGTTCCAAAGGAATTGAATTGCATCAATCATCAAGTATACTTACTGCACTCATGCTTTGCGAATTGACAATAGTAGACTTTGTTTAAACCAACTTTCAAAGCGTGTTGATGATTGTTTTGTAGTTTTGTTTTTGAACTTTGAAGCAATGTCCACTATTAAAACAGGTGCTGTTGCCCTAACTGAAATTTTAGGCTGTAGTTTCTCAGATGAAATTTGGTTGATTGTGGAAGGGCTTTGAGGATCTTTTGAAGCGATGGTAATAAAGCTTGTGGTTTTAATTACAATTGTTTTGACGATGTTTTGATTACTATTTGATTTTAGTGGTTTAAGGGCCCTGACGACTGTTCTTGTACCAACTTCAAAAGAATCGAAGGTGCTTTCAATTGGAGTTAAAGGTTAATTAAAACTGTGGTGCGCGCACCTTGTTTTGGCGCAAAAACTAAGGTACTTGAATAAACTCCATAGATTAACATTATTGTATATAAATAAATTACGACGTCAGTATTCCCATGAATACTTGGACCATGATCTGTTAAAAGAGGTTAAGTCGCTCATACATACACTCATACTAGCGTATTATACAAAGCGATCATCCTCAATATTGATCATCCAATATGAGTTATCCAACAGTGTACTTACATATATATGAAAGGTTGTTTATCCGAAAAAAAGACAAAGCTAATAGACAAGCTATGCTCCAATCTAAATACGATCTAAATTAGATATCCCAATTATATATATATATATATATATAAAGTCCCATATAATATATCTAATTCGCATGGCCGGCAAACTTGAAATTTGCGCCATGAATGATAATATTTGCATTTACGTTATATAAATTTTTACAGAGCTGAATATATATATATTAACGGCTACATGTTGATTTGTATATTCGAAATATTAATTATGTTTAATTATACGAGAGCTCACCATATTTATACAACAATGCATGTTTACCTTCAAAAGCTAATCTTAAATTGTCAACATCTTTACTCTTGAAATCATTTGAAAATTCAAAAGGTTCACCAATTTCTGATTTATTAAAATCAAAGATCAAAACTTTATTTGTTTTAGGGTCAATTGAGATATTTCTTGGGTATATATCATTGTGTTTAATGCCCAAAGTACTATTAATTTTCCTTATCAGGTTATATCCATCTTGTTTAACCTCTTCAGGTTGTTCCTGCTTATTTTGTGGATGGTTATGAATATAGTTTATTGGTTCTAAGGCAATAAATTGCTCATTCTCCAATATTGAGCCTTCTCCCGTTTGTATTATTCCCCTTAATAGTAATTTTGGAACATTCAGTTGTTCACTTTGGTCTTCAATGCTATCATTGTATTTGTTGATTCTATTGAGAGTGTTGATCTCACTTTGAAGAGATACATCACAAAATTCACGGTAGACTTGGTCAAATGATTTAAAAACTTTTTCCCTTTCATACTTTTCAGACATTAATACCAATTGCTTTGAAATACATTTAATAATAATATATTCCCACTTTTTAAACGCCGACAGTTGTTTTAAAAGAGTAATTTGACTAGGCTCAATCCCTAATCCAAAATTATGTAGGATGCTTATCAGTGCACCGGTGTTGACTCTTAGAACTTGTGTACAAGACGTCATGTTTTCAGACAATATCTCGTAATTATCTTTAGCATTTTTAGCTTCAGGATCAAATGTAGGAGTATTCAATTGATAAGCTGGATCGGTGGGAAAAGGTCTATAATGAAATTCTGGCCTATAACTAATACCGTCTTGAAAATTAACAGCTTGACCAGCTGGTTCATACAATCTAATTGCACCACTGCATGATTGTTCATCAATTTGAGGACTATTTTCTGGAGCTAATTCAGCGAAATGAATGTTTCTGTGGCCTTCACTACTACTTTGGACGTCTGGAGTACTAGTTTGTCGATCTGATTCATGATCCAACCTTATCATATCATCTTGGAATTTTTGTAAATTATTGTACCTATTCTTCATTTCATTATGGTTCCTAAAATCGAAAGACTCTTCATTATATGGTCTAGTATCTTCTAAACAATGATCAGCTTCTTTATTTGAATTGAATATGGAGGATCTTATGTATTTAGAAATAACCGAACACAAGAGTAATTTAAAGTTAACTAGATGACATTCATTTTGAGTGAGTTCTTTAACTGTAAGGTCATAGATTTGGAATCCTCTAATTATAAATCCATTTACCCTGAACTTGAAGATTAAATCATCAATATCAACGGAGTCAGTGGTTTCACTTTTAACAAGATCTAAATATGTATCAGCGGGTACCTCTAAAACTAGATGTGTATCCGTGTCGGTCAGTATTCCTATATTGCAGCTATTAGCCTTTATAATTTGAGCAAGGGTTTGCTTCAACAAACCTCTGAACTGAGGCTTTACTCTATCATAATCAATAGCTCCCTGGAGCAATTCATAAATGTATGGCCTTTTTACCTCTATTGTAGATATTATGATGTTCTCTGAAACATCATCTTTTGGGATCATCAGATCTGTGTTTTCTTTTTTTTGTTTGAGCTTCATTAATACCTGTAAGCTTAGCAGCGCTAATAGATTGTATAACAATATCAGGAATTATACCGGAATTCTTTGAATTATATAGTTTGTTAATAATAGAAGTAGTATCTTCAGGGATGGCTGTACCGACTTCACATCCTATTTGAAATGATCCATTGATTCTCGTGTTGTTAACAAACTGTGACAAAATAACTGAAGGAATAACGCAGCCGTACAAAACACAGTTTTGAAAAATGACCTCCTTAATGTTCTTAATGTCATGCCTTTTTTGGATTTCATAGTACCCCACTGGTGTGTAATTTAAAACGGATACTAAAAGAGTATCTACCACCTTTTTTGACAAAGCTTTAGCCTGGTGCTTCACTGAAAATAAAATTTCTGCATCTTTTATGAACTCCATGTAACCTTCTCTTATTTCTTCGTAAAACCTCTGGTTAGAGCTTGTTGCATTATCATAATCCACAATAATATCTATGTCTCTACCTAGAAACATTCTTTTGGTTGATATGCTCTGACTTCCTTGACTTTTTGAAGATGCCTTTCTGAAGTTTTCAGTATGTGGTGGTGTTATATTTTCAATAAAGACAGCTAGCTTCCACATATTTAGCCAGTTTTGTTCACTAAACTTTTGTTTGTTTGTCAGAATCAATAACACCAACTCGTTAAAACGGTAAGTCGGTTCGACTGTCTCAAGAAACTTTTTACAATTTTTCAAAGATTTCCACATATGAGCACCTGAAGGAAACTTTTTGATATTTCTTTTGAATACATTATCGTAACTCAACACCATCTTGTTAAAATCTTTGGGTAATTCCTCATTGATCGTTTGAAAAATCCTTGACTCATTCAGTGCTATGACTTCAGCAACTTTGAAGCAAGTAACGGCATCTAATTCTCTTGTCATTATATCACAAATGTAGCATTAATATGCGGTGGCTTTGAGATCTGACTAGTATATATATTGTTGAACAAATAATTGATCACTTATAATATAGTTCATTAATATTCTCAAAATTAATTATAATAAATCAATACAATATCCCTAATTAATTTCGCGAATTAAAAATCAAATATGCCGGCCAACATGTGAGGTCATGAGAACGTCAGAACATCAATATTATTATTATAAATATTTGTTATTATATATATTATTAAAAATATGAATCGATGGCCCAGGAGCTACGTCACATGAAAAAAGTTTTAATAATATTATTTAATCAAATGGTCAATATATATTCTGTCTGCATGTATATATAAGGCAAAACCATATTATGTCGTTTCTCATAACTGCTATCATTTAATTATTGATTTAGGTTCATACATGATATACTTATATATATCAAAATCATCCATCATCTATTTAAAGTTTTAGCTAAATGTTGTTGTTTGAAAATTGATTTAATCCATGCCGGTCTATCAATTATAAATTCTTGGGTTTCTTCATTCTTGGTGTTTAATAAAGTAATTGTCATCAAATCACTAAAATTTTCATCAATTCTACCCAAACTTTGAGAACAATAAATTAATTGTAAATAAAGACCATCTCGAATTGATTTTTCATTTATTTGTAATATTGAAGATTGTAAGTTTTTGACCAATTCCAGTAAGACGTTTTGAACAAATTCAAATAACAAGATGTTTGATTTCTTACCGTTTTTAATTAATGGAATTATTGGTGTTGTATTTGAGTTTGAGTTTGAGTTTGAGCCGGAGTTGGTATTTGTGATTTGTTCTTCATTTGATTCGTTTTCTGTCACCTCTTCTCTTGGTTCACCTTCTAAATTTGGTTCTTCTGTGATAGCTTTGGCTTCCGATTTAGTTGTTTTACCGCCAGACCCTTCTTCAGCTTCATCTTTATTTGAATCCTCAACTTCTTTATCATCCTTTTGATCTTTATTATTAGTCTCTATACCATTGGGTGTAATCTCGGACGTATCTCTAGCCAGCGTTTCTTCATTTTGCTCTTGTTTGATCTCTATATTATCTTCTAGTTCAATATCTTCAGTCTTTTTACTTATTTCATCAACTTGTTCATCATCTTCTTCTTCTATAATTTTTCCCACATCCACTAAATCTACTTCAAGTTCATTTGAATCTGGGAAAATATTTCTATAAGTCATGATTGAACCAAAACAATGCTCTCTGATCACTTCAATACTTCTTTTACAATATTTTTCAAATAATTCACTTTGTTTCAAAGGTTTTAATGATTCTAATTCAATTTGAATAAATTGATAACGAGAATGTAATAAAATTCTTTTCAATTGTTCATCAATTGCCTCACTTTGACTAAAAGGTTGAATTCTTCTTAGATATGATGAAATTTTTATAATTGATGATTGTTTTAAATTTGTTCTTAATAACCTTATAAGACCTGTGAGCATTAATGACATTTCTGATTGAACTGCAGTTTCAACTTCTTTAATTAAGTCACTTTGTGGGAATCTTATAGCCAGTCTTCTGGTATATGAACTAATCTCGAGAGCTTCTGAGTAATAACCTGCTTTTATACATGCACCAGCCAATGAAGGTAATTCTAATATAACAACAATTTGATCCATATTTTGTAAAACAACTGATAAATTTTTATTTTTTTCAACTTCACTAGGTTGAATATTTTTGATATTCTCAATAGTTTGTTGGAATGAATCTTGTTTAGAATTTGGATCAAGATCAATTTCTAATTCATGTAATTCTTGATCATCCTTAAAATCACTTATATCATCATCTCTGAAAGATCTCCATAGAGCCTTGGTGTCATGTACAAACTCTTGCTCAAATGAACTATAAGCTTGTTTTAATCCAATTTCATTATCTATTATTGATGATTGAGATTTTGTTATTAAAGATTTCAAATTATTATCAATTGCCCTTTGTTTAGCCTCAAGCTCAGCAATATCCTGGACCAATGTTCTTTCTTCCAATGCATTCAAGTCACTATTAGCAGCAGGTGTTGGTGGAACTGAAGAAAGATAATCGTTGGACCCGATCGAACTGATTTCATTCAAATATTGTAACATTTGTGTGTGCATCTCAGGCCTGTCTAACAGCGACTTCACATCAGCTGGCAAGTCCTCGCTCAATTCCTGAAGTAGAACATCCAATGCGCTCTCATCTATCACTTCTCCGTTATCAACCATTGTAGACCTAAAACCCAAATACTCCCAATACGATTCTATGATCTCTTTGTTCACTGTTTATTGTTGTTGATGTCAAGTTGTTCAATTAAGCTGATCTCGAGATCGCGGAATTCGCGAAGGATACCCGGAAGTCGAATTTGGCTGCTCGTGGAATTTCCGCGAATCTGGCACAGGAGAACATTTGAATTGAGCTGTTGTTAATGATAACGAATATTGAAGTCTTCAAGGCTAAAGGATACAGGTATCTATACAATTGAGCATCAAAATGGAAGGGTTATTCTTTAATATTGACAAGTGAGTATGGGTGGTGCTTATTGGATATCAGAGATTATCGTACTAACTAAATGTGTTTATAGTGGGTACATTGAAGGGGTTGTACGTGGTTACAGAAATGGTCTTTTAACAGACAATCAATACATCAATTTAACTCAATGTGATACTTTGGAAGATTTAAAATTACAACTATCATCAACAGACTATGGTAACTTTCTTGCAAATGTTCCATCTCCAATCTCAACATCAACTCTTCAATCAAAAGCTTCACAAAAACTATACAACGAATTCAATTATATTAGAGATCAAGCAGTACAGCCATTAGCTAAATTTATGGATTATATTACTTATGGTTATATGATTGATAACGTTGCATTAATGATCACAGGTACTTTACACGATAGAAACAAGGCTGAAATTTTGGAAAGATGTCATCCATTAGGTTGGTTTGATACTTTACCAACTTTATCTGTTGCTAATGATATTGAATCTCTTTATCAAACCGTCTTGGTTGACACTCCATTAGCTCCATATTTTGAAGGTTTATTAACTGCTGAAGATTTAGATGATTTAAACATTGAAATTATCAGAAACAAATTATACAAGGCATATTTAGAAGATTTTTATAAATTTTCTCAAGAACAACCGGATCCTTCAAATACTATAATGAAAACTTTATTAGAATTTGAAGCTGATAGACGTGCTATAAATATTTCATTAAACTCTTTTGATTCAGAATTATCTGAATCTGAAAGACAATCAATCTTACCAACTTTTGGTAAATTATATCCATTAGGTACTCAAGCATTAGCAAAAGCTGAAGATATTGAATCAATTCGTTCAGTTGTGGAAAACGTTTATGAATATAAATCATTTTTCGATAATGTTGGTGGGAAAACTCTTGAAGACCATTTTTATAAATTAGAAATGGAATTATGTAGAGATGCTTTTGCTCAACAATTTACTGTTTCAACAATTTGGGCTTGGATGAAATCAAAAGAACAAGAAGTTAGAAATATTACTTGGATTGCAGAATGTATTGCTCAAAATCAAAAAGAACGTATAAATAATTATATCTCTGTTTATTAAGAGATTATTAAGAGATGAACTCATCATACAAGTGTTTTTTTAAAAAATAATGTTAGAAAGTAAAGTATAATAATATAATAGTGTTTAGGTGAATGTTCAAAAGTTTTTTTTTTCTACTTCGTATAATTTATACCGCTTTACTCATACGTATTGCGAAATTTTAAAATTATTCGTAAAATTCGTAGTCATTAATAAAATAATTATAAAACATTAATACAACATCTTCATAAAACCAAACTAGCTTAATAATCCTAGACTCAAATAACAATTTCCACAACACGATCATAACTTGTGGTAACATAAGCAGATTTTGAATTTGGATTTGGATTAATCTTTGGGGCTGGGATTTGACCACCATAATAATGAGCATTACGACATTGTGAAATATCCAAATACCTTAATGGTAAGGAACTTGATAACAATGCATCAACACCAGCTCTTGTAACTCTAACACATCCTTTAATAACTAAGGACTCTAACTGTCTTAAATGTAATGATATGGCTAATAATGATGAATCACTAATTGCAGATCCACAAAATGAAAGATCTAAATGTTTTAATCCAGGACATCCTAAACATAAAACCTCCACTGAAACATCTGTTAGTGCACAACAAAATGATAAATCTAATGAGTGTAAGCCTTGTGCAGAACTTGTAATTGCAATTATTGATTTATCACTTAAAAATGTACAATCACTCAATTTCAACTTTCTTAAATTTGGGAATGGTTGATAAGCCCAGTATGCAAATCCTGCATCTGTGATTGTTGTACATCTTGTTAAATCTAACGATTCAATTCTATCATTGGCATGTAGTGCAATATGATACATTGATCTATCAGTTAAATGTTTACAGTAACCCAGGTTTAATATTTTCAAATTAGCACATCCAATACTTGCTTCATGATTATCAAATTCTTCCATCCCCGGAACGGGACCTTCTAATGCATAGCCATTTGATACAGATTGTTGTTGCTGGCTAGCACTCACACCAGGTTTATTCTTCCATCCAATAAGTCTTTCAACAACATCATCTCTAACTTTACGACAATTTGATAAATCTAATTCAATTATATGATGTCCAATACTTGGAACTGCAACATCCATTATTGCCATAGCACTAACTTCCCAAACGGATCTCATTTTAATTGTTTGAATGAAGCCACTCATACCAATTTCATTAACCATATAACAAAAACCAACATCAGTTATATGGAAACAATCTGAAATATCAATTATTCTTGGTCTTGAACCAACAAAGTCAATAATTTGAATCAATGCTTTGTCATCAATTGATATATTATATGGTTTCAAATCTAAAGTTTCGAAAAATCCTGGTGCAACATATAACAATTGTCTCCATCTTCTGCAAATAATTCTTAATTTCATTAAATCAGGTAGTGGTAACAATTTGAAAATATTCAACAAGATTCTATCAGGTAATGGCCCTGTACTTAAAACACTTGAGCGACGTCTTCCTCCAATATTTTGTAATCTAACTCTTTTAGCATGATTCATATACTGGAATGGTTGTGAAGATTTTTGACTTGAAGGGAATTGGTTAATTGATGGTAATACTGGGTTAAGTGGTGGAACTGATAATGTCAAAGGCGAAGAGGATGAAGAATCTTTTAACGGATCAACTGTTTGTGAAATTGTTGCTATTGATTTTCTTCTTTGAAACTCAAACTTATCATTGAACATTGAAGGTTTTGAAAACGTTGATGATGGCCCAGTGGAAAACGATGATTGTAATGCAGAGTCTAATAATGCTGTCATTGATGATGATGGTTGTGATGATGATGAAGATGGTGATTGATCTTGTAAAGGAGACTTAGCTCTTTTTGGAATATCTGGTTCAGTGAATTTTGGTTGTTTAAATATAGGATCTGAAGTAATTGCAATATTTTTGGTTCTTTTTGATGGTGGTGAAGGCGATGCCGATGGTGACACGTCAAAGGTTAATAATGAATTTGATGATTGAACGTAAGAATTACTTCTTCTTCGTTTTGGAACTGGTTCATGTAATTCAGTTGATGCCTTGCGATCTGTATTAGTTGAAGCAAATCCCTTCCACTTGCTAAAAGGTGAATCTTTCAATAAATTCCAATCATTCTCAGGTTTAAAACTTTTTGCAGAATCATGATCTGACGTTATTTGATTTCTATCATTTCTCTTTTTAGCAGTATCTCTCATCTCATCGCAAATTCTAGGGTATCTTGAGTAAAGATTTTCTAATTGGTCACCACTAACAATTAAAACATCGACTGTAGACACAGATCTAATATCTGCAGTTCTCTCGGATTTTAATTGTTCAGGACTCAAATCATCATCACTTGGAGTTATTGACTGCAAAAAAGCCATTTCACCAAAATATTGACCAGTTCCTAATCTTGCTAAGACACGATCAACTTTTTTATCTTGATCACCTTTTGAAGAAGCTAATGAAATTCTTTTAGGACTTAAAACTTCAACTTCACCATTAACGATGAAATAAATATCACGAGCTTGTTCACCTTTTTTAACAATGGTTTCAAACGGTTCAAATCTTTGCGGCTCAACCCCTAGAACTAATTCATGAATAATATTTGAAGGCAATAATGTAAACATTGGTAAACTTCTAAGGAAATCTCTTGTTGGAATAGAATTATCAACATTATCATGGATTTTTGGTAGACTTTTTCTTGTTTGATTATTAATTACCATGGAAGATTTTCTTAAATTTTGTGAAACATTATCTAGTAATGACGATGGGATTTGCGCTAAAGCAGAAGGTTCCGATTTAGTATGAGGAGGTATTGAAGGGCCTGGGATTGAAGCATTTGCTGTAGCAATAACACTCGATCTTGTATTGTTTTGATCGTTCTCATTAATCAGAACCCTGCCACTAGCATTGCTTATTGAAGATGTCAAACTATTAGATTTGAAATTGATGTTTGTAACCCCATTTCTAAATCTTTTATCTTGCATGCTTAATCTCTCTTGTGCTTCATCTCTGATCATTCTTTCCACTATAGGAAAATCTGGCAATACAGAATTGAAATTATCAGCAGTAAGAACACCTAAAAGTACTTTAGTTTTAGCAATAACTGTTGCGGTTCTAGGTCTATTGAATAAGATACCAATTTCACCAAAGAATTGACCCGAAACCAATTCAGCATGAACAGCTTCACCATCTGGAGAAGTAACAGCAACTGAACCTCTCAAAATTAAATACATTGATTTAGCTGGTTCACCAAATTTAACGATATATTCTTGAGGATGATGTTGAACTAATTTTAGTCTTCCTGCTATAGCTTTATGGAAGGTTCTTGGTGCATTTCTAAACAACGGGAAAGTTGTTAACTTCTCTAATAATTGTGGAGGTATGTTATATCTTGTTAATGATTCAATTTCAAGCTCATCTTCATTATCTATTTCCTCTTGATTATGATTATTTGATTGTTTTTGTTGTATTGTATGTAAGTTTTCATTGTTTTGGGGGTGTAAGTCTCTGGGTATTATATTATTTGAATCATATGAACTTTTGGATGATAATGAGGTCGGTGTAGGTATTAAATCTTGGTTTGAAGAATTTTGGTCACAGTGTAGATCTTGCCTTTTGTTATTACTTGCAAAGTCTGATTCTGATATAACTGCTGTTAACGGACTTGTTCCTCTGGTGTATGGCTGTGAGTTTTTAGAGTCATCTGATGTGTTGTTGATGGCGCTGTAGGTAGAATTTCCCTTGGATGCTAAGGGTGATTGTCTTGATGGTTTAGATCTCGCTATGGAGCTCTTTTTTCTCATAGTTGATGTGTATTATGATTTTGCTGTGTGTTTATAATGCTGGTTGATATATCTGGAGTATTTATCTAATTGGAAAACTTGTTCTTTTTTGCAAAGTGAGCCAAATATTTGAGCTATTCTATTTCTATTATTCTGATATGTGTAATAAGTTCTGTACTCTGTCTGTTTATTGCCCTGTCAAGTGTTTTGTTGTGATGAAGTTACAAAGTGTTGAAGTTGATGAAATGATTATCTTTTTGAATTTCAAATATCTAGTTTTCTTTTTTCCCTGCAAAATGACAGCGGTCAATTCAGCCCAAAATTATCAAATTGGGAACAAACAATTACTACAAACACAAATGAAAATGAGACGTTTTGAATGAGAGAGACAAATTATGGTAGTAGGCTACATTAGCAGAGTAATCTATTCCATGTCCATCGCTAGTAGTTAGGAACCCTATTCAACAGTCTGGTATTATGTATATATGTACTTCGTATTTGAACACTCTTTCAAGCCGGTAATTTCGCTGCATTAGGATATCAGCAGCACTAGAATTTACAAGTGGAAAGCTGAAAGTTGAATGTTGTAGCCTGTGGTTTCTATTCTTATAACCTTAACATGTACATTGCTGGAGTTGAAGGCCTCCAATCATATACAAAACCATTCAATTCTGCCCTTGAATCTTTAACGGCTTACCAAACTAGGAGTTTCCTTCCATAAGTCTTCTGGAAAGCAAATGATGTTCGGTGTCACAAAATAGCAAATCAAACTAACAGGTCAAACAGGAACAATCAAAATATGGTGAGCTTGATTCAAAGGTATTGTAGTTACTTCTTGTCAAACCTATGATAGCTTGTATCATCTAAGTGTGCTTAAATCTGAAACTTTGGACTCCGGAGTAATTTGGACCAGCTAAAATTATTTCAGCTTTATTTAATACGGTGCATCATTTCATTAATGCCCGTGTACATACACTTAAGAAAAGTTGCTTGGACATGAAATGCTTAGATACCACATCGTACGTGTTAGAATATTCTACGTTGATCCGTTTATCACAATTACGAATACCCAGGGGCCAATCATCTTACTGATAATTTTTTCACTTTTACGTAAAAGTTGAGTCCTGAATCCTGCAACGATAGATGATCAGATCTTAAAATTCTTACCATAACGTGAAAATCTATGTGTATCTGTATAATTATATACTCAGTATATACGCTGGGCTTCAGACCTTTGATACATATATATATATATGAAATAAAAATTTAATATAGCACCCAAGATATATATGTTACTATAGGACATTGATCTCGCGACGTAGTATAATTAGTAGAAGTGTTATCAAAGAATTGATTTTATATGGACATACGAGATGCAACCAACGCTGACGACCTTATTTAAGTTTGAAAAAGGTACTACTACGTACTCGACAAAGCTCAGAACTGATCCATGACTTATTGTACTGTAACCGAAGTCTGACACATCTAGGTTATTATGTGAGAGCTTAAACAAAAATTACAATTGTACACGCTGTCATATAAACTTATATACTTATAATACCTTTATACTCGGCTATATCAAAATCATAAATCTTTGGGTATGAATGAGAATTGAATGTTAGACATTAACGTACACGCGCGCCAAGATCAAACAGCTCATATGGTATGATCATATATCATAATATAGTCATAGAGTATATATGTTAACGTGTAACGTGTTCTAATTCCTTGTACTAATTAGTAAAATGATATATAAGTGTTCAATTGAATAAACATCAGATGTGCTTCCTTACGTATCTTAAAGAGCTTTCAACCCAAACCATTATTAATCTATATTATTTTGTATACAAGTGAAACTTTTATAATTTACATACATTTAACATTCAAATTTTTTCTTTTCAAAATTTATAATCACTAAAGAATTGAAATTTTTTCAATTCATCACCTTTAACACTATGAACAGTTCTAATATAAGTTTTTGAAGTTAATACCAATTCATTATATAACAAAAATTCAGGTGAAGTTGGTAAAACAGTACTTGGATGAACTAAAACATCTTGACCATCAACAGTTTTATAACCTTTACCACTTTTAATAGCAACTTGCATGAAAAATCCACCTAATAAAGCTCTTGTTATATATTTATTAAATTTTTTATCATCTTGTGAAGTACTTAGAATTGGAATATCAAAATTTTCCATCATTCTATATAATTGTTTTCTAATATTTATAGCTTGTTGCATTGTTCTGTAAGAAATGAAATTATCACGACACCATTGATTTATACCACCTTGATTTAAAGCTTCTTGAAATTCATTAAATACATTGATTAATGTAACAAAATCACCAGATTGATCAGCAAAATTTAATTTTGCTTCATCTGCATATTTTCTTGCATTTGCAGGTCTAACAAAAACATTTGGTACATTTAATAAACTAACAATTGTTAAGATTTCTTCTGAACATTTATGATCAGCAGATCCAATCAACATAACAGCTAATAATGGATCTAATGGGAAATTTGAAGCTAATCTACCTAAAGAAGTTAAATCACCATCATCATTTAATACAGCAAGATAATTTAATTCTTCTAAAGCTCTCATCATTGTTTCTGGAGCTGGAGGATCCATAAAATCAAAATGAACTAAATCATCAACACCAACTTTTTTCAATAATAAAACAACTGATGATAAATTACATCTTAAAATTTCTGGATAAGTTGCTTCAATTAATTCCTTTTTATAAGCTTCTTCTGTATATAATCTAAAACATTTACCAGGTCTTGTACGACCAGCACGACCAGCTCTTTGTTGAGCACTTGCTTTTGAAATTGGTGAAACTAAAAGTGATTCAACTCTAATTCTTGGATTATAAACTTTTTGTTTTGAAAACCCAGGATCAACAACATAAACAATCCCATCAATTGTTAAAGAAGTTTCTGCAATATTTGTAGCAACAATAACTTTTCTACCAGGACGACCATTATAAGGTTCTGGAGCTTTTTCAAAGATTTTTTGTTGTTGATGTGGTGGTAAAGAACCATATAATGGATAAACACTTAAAGGACCACTACCTTGTTCTCTAATTAATTCATCACCTTCTAATGAAATTTTCCTACATGCATCTTCAATTTCTTCTTCACCTGTAAGGAACAATAAGATATCACCTTCACCTTCAGTAGCATGAATTTGTAAAACAGTTCTTATAGCAGAATCTAAATAATCTTTTTGATATTCTGGTGTATAATAAATTTCAACTGGATGAGTTCTACCTGGAACAGCTAATAATGGAGCTTCATTAAAATAATTTTGAAATTTTTCAGCATCTAAAGTAGCAGACATGATTATAATTTTTAAATCTTTTCTTCTATCAGCAATTTGTTTTAAAAGACCCATAAGAATATCAGTTGCTAAAGTACGTTCATGTGCTTCATCAAGAATAATAACAGAATAACGAGATAAATTATGATCTTCCATAGCTTCTCTTAATAACATACCATCAGTCATATATTTTAACATTGTTTTATTTGTAGTTTTATTTTCAAATCTAATATTATAACCAACTTCTTCACCTAATTGAACATCCATTTCATCAGCAACTCTTGCAGCAACAGACATTGCAGCAACCCTACGAGGTTGAGTACAAGCAACTTGTGTACCTTTTAAATGAGGTAGATCATCATAAAGAACAAATTGAGGAATTTGAGTAGTTTTACCAGAACCAGTTTCACCAACGAAAACCATAATTTGAGTTGATTGGAAAATTTTTAAAAATTCATCACGTTGAGAATGAACAGGTAAATCACGTCTAATTTTTAAAATATCAAAATATTTTTGAGTGAAAGGTCTACCTGTAAATGGGTTATTAATTGAATCTTCTAAATTTTGAGCTTGTTTTGCAGTAGTTTTATGTGGTATAATATCTTTAAATTCACCATCATTATGAAATTCTAAAGTTTGATCTCTTGATGAATGAGGATGTTGTCTTAATTCTTCTTCTGCTTTTTCAGCAATCTTTTCACCAGATGAGGTGTCAACAATTCTCATTTTCTTTGTAGGTCTATCACTTTCCCCCATTGTTGTATAATGATGTATATCTTGTATAGTATCTCTACACTATAAATGAAAACAACAATTTAAATTTTTTTTTCTAATCTCATCCCCTTATTTGAACATTTGGAAATGGCAGATTTTGTCTGTCAGAAAGTCGTGTGTCAGTAATATATCTTGATGACACTGATATTATATAATCATTCTGATTATATCAGCATTACATAGCCAGTTTTGTAATTTCCCCAGATTTTTTTTTTTAAATTTAATTTGCCGATTGCGGTTTTCAAATTTCCGGGTGACCACGGGTTGTGAATATTTTTGTGATTATATAATCAGCTTTTTTCTTTTGAGCTAGTCGAGATCAAACGTGCGAAACTCGAATCCCCAAACTCTGAGTGGAGGCCCCACCAAAAGAAAGTTTGTACACATTACAATGAGATCTGGATAATATACCACACACTAGAACGTAGCACTAGTTTTACACTGATAATCAGGACCATTTCTCTTCTTTTTTGTCTGTGTACTCTCCCTGTTCCCTGTGACTCAGAGTCCAGACTCAAAATCCCCGGGATCCCCATTGGATTTCAATTTCAATTGCGCGCAAAAGAAGAGAAATAAAATCGCGAATATTCTCAATTTCCACAATAGCAAAATTTTACAAGGCTTTGGCGATGCGTTAAATTTGGCTGGACCAATAAAAAGCTGAGAAAGCGCTGGTTTTCTACAACAAAACAACAACATCAAATACAACATCAAATACAACACATTGAAGCAATCACTACTATAAAACACACACAATGTTCTCTAGAGAAGGTGTTCATGAGGTGCTATCCATCTCCAAAGCCGCTGTCAACGTGGCAAAATCTTCTCTTAATATTGCACAAAACGAAGCTACAAATTTTTATTGGAGCTCATCGCTAACTAAAAATTGTCGTATTCATGATGAAATGTATCAAGAATTGAATACAAAAGCTCAAGAATTAAGATCAACTAATGTTGCTGGTGCTGCTGGATCTGGTCATTCAACTCACTCTTCATTCCATCATCCTTCATCTCCAGTTTTAAACGATTCTAAAAGACCAAACATTAATGATTCATCAATCATAGGATCAAATAAAAGAGAATATTCAACAAAAGCAATCAAACCAACAATCATGTCTGAAGTTGAATTGAAAACTACTCAAGAACCTGAAGAAAGATCTACTCCACAAAAAGCTGCTTCTTCAAGAGTTGTTGATGAATCTCGTTATGCTAAAATCCCAACTTCCAAACTTCAAAGATTATTCCATTATGGTCATTTAGCTACAAGTATGGGGTTTAATGCTGCTTCTGATGGTCTTCGAGCTGTTGCAAGTGGTGAAAAGGCTGATTTTAGAAAATTAACTCTTTCTTCTAAAAATGTTTCAATTTTAGGTGATAAATTAAGAAAAATGAGAGGTGCTGCTTTAAAAGTTGGTCAAATGATGTCAATTCAAGATGAATCTTTTTTACCAAGAGAAATTTCTGATTTATTGAAAAATGTTCAAAATCAAGGTTATTTTATGCCTCCAAGACAATTAGATCGTCTTTTAAGAATTAATTTAGGTGAAGGTTGGGAAGAAAAAAATTTCCAATTTTTCGATAAAGTTCCAATTGCTTCAGCTTCAATTTCCCAAGTTCATAAAGCTATTTTAAAAAATGGTCAAGAAGTTGCTGTTAAAGTTCAATATCCAGGTGTTAAAGATTCTATTGATTCTGATATGGATAATTTATTAATGTTTATGACTGCTTCAAGATTATTACCAAGAGGTATGTTTCCTGAAAAATCTATTGCAAATGCAAGAACTGAATTAAAATGGGAATGTGATTTTAATAGAGAAGCTGCAAACATCAAGAAATTTAGTGAATTATTACAAGATAATGATACTTTCCATGTTCCAAAAGTTTATGATCATTTAAGTAATGAAAATGTTATTACAATGGATTGGTTAGAAGGTGTTGAAGTTTGTCGTGGTGATTGGGATCAACCAACAAAAGATTGGATTGCAACAAATGTTTTAAAATTATGTTTACAAGAAATTGCTCCTTTTAAATTTATGCAAACTGATCCAAATTGGGCAAATTTCTTATATAATTCTAAAACTAAAAAAATTGAATTATTAGATTTTGGTGCTGCAAGAGCTTATGATTCAAAATTTATTAGTGATTATGTTTCATGTTTAAAAGCTGCTGTTAAACAAGATCGTGATCAAGTTAAATTATATTCTCATAAACTGGGTTATTTAACAGGTTTAGAATCTGATGAAATGATTAATGCTCATGTTGATTCTGTTGTTGTCTTGGGTGAACCATTTTGTAAAGATGGTTTATATGATTTTGCTCAGCAAGATGTTACAACAAGAGTTAAAGCCAAAATGGGATTAATGTTGAAAGAAAGATTAACTCCACCACCTGAAGAAACTTATTCTTTACATAGAAAATTTAGTGGTATTTTCCTTTTATGTACTAGATTAAAGGCAAAAGTTCCATGTAAAGAATTATTTGATAAATTTTTCCATTTATAATAAAGCTAAGAAGAGAATTATTCAATGATATTAATGAGCTTTTTAATTTAAACCACACAAACACATACAAAACATCAAATTTGTACATATATTAATGATGCATATTTCCATACAATTCAATTATAGAGAATCATCAAACAAGCACACACACATTTTACATTACATTACACACATCCAGGAGATTTTATTTTCCAACTTAATAATATTTTATCAATGAGTCCATGATCACATTTTAAAAAAAAATTCTATAACTATAAACTATGTTTTAATTTTGCTTTAAACAATTTAATTAATGATATTTAAGAAAAACCAAAAAAAAAACCATACATATAACATAATATAAAAAAACATACACTATGAAGTACATGAATTTTGATTTTTTAAACTACAAAAACATGAAATAATTTAATACTTGCAATTATATACCTATATTTTATAAAATAATGATACATATATAGATATAATTTTCATGAATGATATTTAGATATATGACTTTGTAATTGTTTTTCTTTACTAAAACTTCTTGAACATTGACCACATTTAAAAAATTTTTCATGAGTTTTAATATGTTTTGTTAAATTTGAAGATTCACTAAATCTTTTACCACAACCTGGATATTTACAAATCAATGGTTTCTCACCTGTATGAGTTCTTAAATGAATTGATAAAGAACTTGAAGTTGCAAAATGTTTATCACAAATCTTACATTTATATGGTTTTTCTCCACTATGAGTTCTCATATGTTGTTCAAGCATACTTTCCACTGCAAATGAATGTTTACAAATTGAACAAATAAATGGTTTATAATGAGTATGAACATGTAAATGTCTTATAATTTTTTGACGTTGATTGAAAATTCTATGATTTCTTGAACAATTATGCCAATTACATGTATATTCTGATTTTCCTGATCCAATATGATCATTAATTAAATGATTTGTTAAATCTGCTGCTGATTCAAATTTTAAATTACATGTTGATATATGTGTTTCTGTTATTGGATCATATTCACACCAATTACATTGTGTTTCTTCAGTTGTAACATGTGGTTTAGGGAAATTATTTGATTTTGATTTTGATGGTGTTGCTATTGTTGAATGATTTGATAAAGTTGTTGTGGAAGAATTTGATGATTGTCGTGGTGAAGAAATTTCAGAATTTGAATTCGATGTTATTGTAGTTAAATCATTATCTGGAGAAGGTGTTGGTAAATTTAATTGATTATTTGATAATCCATTATTTAATTGTTGTTGTGGTTGTGGTTGTGGTGGTTGATCTTTTTTAATTAAATTATTTATATCAAAATCATATTGAAATCCATGAGTATCATTAATATGATTAACTAATGAGAATAAATCATATCCATTAAAATCACAATTTTTCCATTCACATTCAAATGAACTTGAACTTGTTTGTGGAGGGATTGAATATTCAGATAATAAATGATCTTCAACTATATGATTTTGTAATTGAAATGAATTATCTAAAGTTGTTGAACAATTTTCCCATTCACATTTAGCACCTGGTTGATTTTTAAAATTCCATTCAAAATTTATAAATTCATTTTGTTGTTGTTGTTGTGGTAATTGTGGTTTAAGTTGAAATTGATCAATACTATTTGATTTTTTTAGTTTTTTAGCTTGATGATCATGAATTTGTATATGATGATGATGATGATTATTTGAATGATGGAAATCATTATGATGTAAATGATGATGTAAAGTTTGTTGTTCTTGTTCTCGTTGTTGTTGTTGGTGATGGTGATGAGAATCTAATTCTTTCCCATGATTTTTTTTGAATGATGCACATTCAGGATTTATACAATTTAATGGATTTGTACAAGTTATAGGAGGTTCTTCTTGTTGTTGATGAGTTTGATAGTTATAATTATTTGTTGTATAAGTTTGAGGTTCTTGTTTAATTATTCCATGAATTCTTTTTTCATCTTCTTTTTTAACTTCATTTGTATTTGAATCATTTGTAATTTTATCAATATCTTCACAATATTTACAATATAATTCATCAATATCACAAGTATCTAAATCACATTTGATATCAATACAATCATCCAAAGCACAACTTAGATCTAAATCTTGTTGTTGCTGTTGTTGTTTTAATAAAGATTCTTTCTTAATTTGTTCATCTTTTGTATGTTTTGCCTCATGGTTATTATTATGATCATGACCATCATGACCTATATGTTCATGATCAGTACAACTTGGTAATTTGGGTATTATATCATTACTTTGATGATGATCATCATCACAACAAATTTCCACAATTTTAGGAACACAATCTTGATGATTTTCATTACATGGTAATAAATCATTTATAGAATTATTATTTAATATTGAATTTTGATCATGACAATTTAAAAATTCAAAATGTTGACAGTCAGAAAATTGTGAATTAAGAGATTCATTTAAATGTTTATGAGATGATCTTCTTCTTTTCTTTTTAGATTGTAAATTTAAACCTGATGGTAAAAAGGGTAAATTTAATTGATCATTTGAAGAATCATTTGTATGAACATGACCATGAATATAGGTGAAGTTTTGGAAGTTATGGATATGACCATGAATAAGACCATCTTTAATATGTTGTTCGTTATGATTATTATTATGATTGTGATTATGATTATGACTATGATTCATATTTGAACTTGTTCTTGTTGTAGAAGAATTTGAAGTTTGTTGTGAATAATCAGTTGAAGGATTTGATAAATCTGAATTTGAAGAATTTTTACTTGATAAATGTGAATTAAAATTCCCATTTAAATTTCCATTATGCCCATTTAAATTGACATCATTTGTGAAAAAATTTGATAAATCTTCAGAAAGAGAATACTTTTTCAATTCAGACTCCAGTTTATTCAAAGTTTTGTTGTCCTTTTCGAACTGCGTTATAAGATCCTGTTCAGACATATTATTTTGTCTCTGTGTCTCTGTGTGTGTAGTGCCTGTGTGACTATATGAGAAGTTTTATTGTATTCTATTGTTAAATTTGTTTAATTGCAATGAATTTATTTTCTCTGAGCACTATAGCAAGTTTTGTCAGCATATAATAAGCTCCTAATTTCCTATACCACTTTTAAAAACTTTGCAGTTGTTGTCAAATTCTGTGATTTTTGAATGTGTTAATGTATTGTATTGTATTGTATAATATTGACGCAAAGCTCAACAGCACCTTCTTCCCACCAGCAACAGTAGTTCCAACCTGTAATCACAATCAAGTCCGTGATCCACTATGAGTACAACTGAATCTGAATAATGAGTAATGACTGCAAATGTTTGTTTGAAGCAGCATCTCAAATTGTGCTGTGTTTGAATATCATTTATTGCAACCTTGGTGGTTGAACTACGTACTAAAAAGTGTATCATCAGACAAAATTGGAATCTGTCAAAATTTTGGGTATTTTCACGTGACAATAATGACATGTGATAATCATGTGACGCGTCAGGTGATTTTAGTACGGGCCGAGGGAAGCATCCGGGAACCCGCGGTACAGGGAAAGCGCGGCAGCGTGGGAAATTTGATTTGATTGTTGATTGATATGAGATTTTAGTTTTTACTCTTGTTACACTTTCATTTGCCATCAAAGTAATCAGCAACTAAAACAGCAGATAAAGATTTCAATTCAATTCAAGTTTCAGGAAAAGTATAAAGCTAGTTCATTTCCCACTTGTATTCATTCAAATTTTATTCAAGTTTTTATTCATTCTTTACACAGCGCTTAACAATCAATTAACAATCAATTAACATCAACAATCAACAATTAATCATGACTTTAACTCCAGAAAAAACAATTTGTGTATTTTGTGGTTCATCATTTGGTAATGATCCAAAATTTGCTAAACATGCAAAAGAATTAGGTTCTAAAATTGCCTTAAAAAATTGGGGTTTAGTTTATGGTGGTGGTACAACAGGTCTTATGGGTTCTGTTGCAAAATCATGTTCAGAAAAAAATGGTTATGTTCATGGAATTATTCCAAATGCTTTAGTTTCAAGAGAAAGAATTGACCCTGAAAAATTAAATCAAAGTTTAAAAAATGATATTGATAATCATAATGGTTGGACTCCAATTAGTGATGAATATGGTAAAAGTACAATTGTACCAGATATGCATACAAGAAAAAGATTAATGGGTGAAGAAGCTGATGCTTTTATTGCATTACCAGGTGGTTATGGTACTTTAGAAGAAATTATGGAAGTTATTACATGGAGTCAATTAGGTATTCATTCAAAACCAATAATTTTTTTCAATATTGATGGATTTTATGATGATTTATTAATTTTTTTACAAAAATCAATTAAATCTGGATTTATAAGTGAAAAAAATGGTGAAATTATTGTTGTTGGAAATTCAACTGATGAAGTTTTAGAAAAAATTGAAAATTATAAAATTCCTGAAGGTAGATATAATTTAAATTGGGAAAATTTAGGTACATCTAATGGAAAGAAATAGATTATGATATATTCTTAGTCACGATCATTAACTTCATTTATTCCATTAATTCATTTCAATTCCTAGGTTTTACATTCATTTCACGTATATATTAGTATATTAAATAAACAGCTAGATGTTGCATAAATACAAGATGTAATCATTCTCATACCACATCAGTGATGACGTATATCATACCGAATATATATATAATAGAACAGCTAATACTTTCAAATCAATATACATATACATATATGCTATCATGATTATTATGTGGCTAAATTTAAGTATATAGATTATTGATTCATTTATATGGTACCAACTAATAATTCAAGATCTCGACCTCATTTGAATGATCAAACTTCTCCATATTCTTGCAAGATTTACATATACTATACATCATTGATTTGACAGTCTAGATAAATATTACGTAGAGTCGTATATTAGTGAAAATAAAATGTTGAATACCATCATGATATTAATAACTGGTTATAAGAATCCCGTATAAATCCTCAGTAGTTAAGTATATATAAGTTACCATGCAAGTATCGGACCGATATTATAATGATTGTCCGAAGTTATTTATAACCAATATATAACCATACAACTTCACAAGATGATAAGATGTCAAGTATAACAGAAAACAGTGTATAGATGATTTAGTGATTTAGTGATTTAGTGCGTTTAATACATTTAGACCACTAAAATCTATTAAAGTTCAATCACCAGTTAATAAGACATGATACTATTGTTCATCACTAATACATTGCTACTTGATCAGCACGTAAATATGCAAAGATTCTCAAATTGATGAGACTAAAAAAGACCAGAAGACCCTACAAAGATTAATAGTCATTAAACAGATGAGTATATAGAGAATACTCATGGATTATATGCATTGTACGTATCTTATTTATCTTGTAATCTGATCATAACTACTCCTTAATCACAATAATTTAAAGCATAGAATCCGGAAGAATAAGCTATGAATTGTATGCAAATACAAGGCTTTCAAGTTTCCTCACAGATTCTCACATAAAAACGATGAAACAGAGAAATTAAAATGGTTGTATAAGTGGTTTACTTGACCAATAAGAGTGTAGTATAGTATAATATAGTCTGGTCAGTGGTTAATAAGAACTCAGGTAAGCGCTCTCGGTTTAATTATATGTAGTGATTCTAATTTAATCAACGGTGCTGTTTATTCCACCGTATTGCTGCATCAGAATAATCACATGAAGTTCAAAGTGAGAATAGAACGATATGGAGTCATGGACTATGAATCATAGCATCAACACTGGATGACTAGACTGGAAGCACGTAGTATCAAGACACTCAAGAGTCGTGATGTGTTGATTTGATGTCCATTGTCTCTTGTTGATCTCAAAGGACACACACGGCCTGTCACTGAGCATCAAATCACAACCAGGCGTGTTGGAAAGATGGGGACAACTCGATTGGAATGCTGGAGTCGTATACAAATAACACATTCTATCATCTATAACAATACACATTCATATCAGTATCTTATAATCACTTATAATCAGTTCAATTCCCACTTAATTTCCCAATTCTGTCCACCGTTAAAACGTTAAAACGACATTTTCCAAACCGGAAAATTTGGACAATTTTAAATTCAACAATTTCATAAATGGAAATAGAAAAAAAGCATCCGTGAATTATACAACCATAAACAAGAACAAAACAACACACAACCAACGCCATCAAAGACCATCAGACAAAGAATCCATCATTTGGAAAACATTCACTACTCTCATATCTACAAGGCTCATCACATACACACACTAAAGTTAGAGTCTTACCATTCTCTTTGTCCTGTTTTTTTACTTCTTAATTTGTGGTTTCATCATCGTTCCTCTATAGAGAATATTGTCAAATTTAAGGACTTTTGAAACCCATCATTTCAACTTCAAATACAACCAGAAAAGGATAACAATAAGAACTTCACCACAAATAAAGAGCTAAACTCATCTCTTATTCATCCACCTGTTCCTTTCTCTCCCAATATGAATGCTGCTCCTCCACTGTCCTATCCTCATGGACCTCAACATCATCATCCAAATCCTCATACTCAACTTCAACAACAAGAAGCTCAAAAACCTCAACCTCAACAACAAGATGAAGAATCTAATATCCAAACTTCATCTTCATCATCATCTTCAACAAATTTAAGAAGAGGTCCTTGGTCACCTGAAGAAGATAGAAAATTATTAGATTCTATAAATTTATTTGGTGCTACAAATTGGGTTAGAATTTCTCAATCAATTGGTACAAGAACTCCAAAACAATGTAGAGAACGTTATCATCAAAATTTAAAACCTTCATTAAATAGAAATCCTATTTCTCCAGAAGAAGGTCAATTAATTGAAGAATTAGTTGGAAAATATGGGAAAAGATGGGCTGAAATTGCAAGACATTTAAATGGTAGATCTGACAATGCTATAAAAAATTGGTGGAATGGAGGTGCAAATAGAAGAAGAAGAGCTTCTTCACAAGCTATTTTCAATGAACCAATCCAATTACACCAACAACCTTTACATCATCATTTACAACCTTTAGAATATAATCAACATTATTCACCTGCTTTTAATACTCAAATTTTCCAACAACAACAACAACAACAATTACCTCATCAAATTCAACAAATACCTGGTCCTGGTCCTATACATCATCAAATACCTGTGTTACAACATTCTCATTCTCAACCTCATGGTATAAATCAAACTAATCAATCATTTCCTTCTCCTTTAAATCATTCTCAATCTTCAACCGCTGCACCAACTTCAAATTCAAATTCAAATCCAACAGGTCCAAATCCAAATCAATCAGGTCAATCAAATTCTCAACAACCTCTGATGATGTTGAGCTCATTATCTCAACAACAAATGTTACCACCTGTAAATTCATCAAGATCAGTTTCAATGAATCAAGAAATTTTCCAACAACAACCTGGTGTTAAAAGATTTTTAGAAGAACAACATATCCCAACAAGAAGACATTCAACTCAAACAATAATGACTGCACAAGGTCCAACAACAATAGGTGGTGGTGGATCTGTTTCAAATAATTTGACAAATGGTTCAAACTCTCAAACTTCACAATCAACTTCTTCACCATTCTCTGCATCACCATTATCAAGAGGTCCATCATCAAGAAATTCTTCAATTTCTTTTGATCCAACATCACATCCACCTTCATCATCTGGATTTTTTTCAGAATATTCAAATAATAATTCAAGAAGATCATCAATTGCACCAGATGTTTTCCCAAATCCATTTCATTATTCAAATAATGTCAAAAGACAAAATAGTGCAACTTATCTTTCTCCAAGTTTTACACCACATAGAGGTTCTGCATCTGGCTTACCATCTTCTTTAAGTACTTTAACTTATACACCAAATGATTCATCTGATGGAGGAAATGGTACTGAATCATCTACACCAATTTTTAAATCAAATTTTAATTTTAAACAAAATGAACAAGAACAAGCTGCTAAATTGATTCAAAAACAAGAAAATAATGGACATGCTCCAGGTCCAAATCAAGTTACAAATCAAGTGACAAATGAACCCCCATTAAAAGCTGAAACTTCAGATGAAAATACAAAACCTGAAGATGGTGAAGTTGATGGTGTTGAAGTTGAAGGTAAAGGTGAAGGGAAGAAAAAAGTCATGAATATAAGTAATTTATTAGGTTAAGATGATTTGAAGAAAATCTAAGTTCAGTTCTATTCAATCTTTTTTTTTATCGTTCTGATATTATTTTTGTTTAATATAATAAATCTTGAAAGGAATTTGATGATTATTAGTTTATATTATGATCAATCTTTATTATATTTATGATACGTTTGATACGTAATCATATCAATGAAATGATTCAAAAAGGGAATCAAATCAATTACTGCACAAAAGAAAAAGGAAATCAAAAAAAAAATCAAAAAAAAATAATAATATAACTTTTATTTCAATATTTTGATCAATAATAATTTTTATATGTATGTGATTAGTTTAAAATGGTTCATTTATTTTTTCCATGTTCCACATTCTTTAATTATATATATTATATACCTGTTTAATAATTAATTCAATTTTATTTCAAAGTATACGTAAATCCTTAATTAATTCCCCCAAATTAATGGTTTACATCTTGTAATTTCAGATTGATGAGGTAAACCAGCTGCAAAATCATTAATATATAAAATACCTTTCCTATCAAGACAATATAATTTATAACCATCTTTACTAAATTGAATTGAAGCACATTCTCTTCTTCTAAATGCATTACTAACTTGATCAACAATGAAAATTCTTTTAGATTCCATATCCATCTTTGTAGCAAATATTAAATAAATTCGTCCATTTCTATCTAAAATTGCAATTGTATCATTTCTTGGTGATATTGTACTTTTATGAATTGATGAACCTAATTCATCTAATTTTAATAATAATTTAGGTTGTGCAACTGTTTGTAATCCATTTATTGATGATATATTATTATCAATAATTATTGGTGCTGCATTAAATGAAGATGATGTTATAATCATATGTTGATTATCTGGAAACAATCGAACATCTGTAATACCTTCACTTTCTAATGAAGTATCTATATTTCTTAAAGATTTCATAACTAATTTAGGTTCTGTATAATTTTTAACCCAAATTGTTAAAAATCTTGATTCTAATGCCGTGGAAACTGATAAATAATTTGAATCATTTGAAAAACTTAATTGATTTATTGGATCTCTATATGGGAATGTTATAGTTATTGGATCATCTTGAAAATTTTGATCATCATCATTTGAATCATCTTCATTTTCATTAAAACTTAGTTTGTGTAATACAACTAATGCTTGTTCACTACCTGTTATTCTATCTTTCCCAGTTATACCATATGCTATTAATTTAGAATTTGAAGATAATTCTAAACATCTAATTGGGAAATTTGAAATATATAAATAAATTGGTTTCCCATTTTTCCTTAAATCAATAATACGTAAAATACCACCAGTACCTGATATAACTAAAAAATCATCAGATAATGAACAATAAAATTGTTCCCAATCATTAAGTTTTTTCTTTAATGTTAATTCATCAAATTCTTTTGCCTGACCTCCTAAGATTTCATTTGGATTTGGTTTGGATAAATTTTCAAAATTTAAACCATATTCACCTGTTGTCTTACCACAACAATATAAAATTGGTGGTTTTTTGGAATCTGATGAAATTTCCCAAACTTCCCATTTTTTAGGTTGAATTAATGCAAAAAACTTACAACTTGGTGATATTGAATTATTAATGAAATTTTTGGATTTAGTTTTCAAGAATTTTGAATGTGTATTGTACTGAAATCTTTGTCTATAAGTTGGGAAACATTTAACAAATAAATATTCTTTTTGTTCATGAGTTTCAGGTAAATTTGTTGATGTAGACGGTAGATTCTTCATTGAAGATGTTTGAGAGTTAGAAGTTGTATGTGATGGTGGTGATGATGATGGTGATGAAAATGTTTGTGGTTGTAATGAAGGTATTATTGATGATGATTGTGTTGATGCTGGTACTGAAATTGAAGATGTTGATGAAAATTTTCTAATATTTGAAGTTGTTATTGGTAATGTTTCATTAAGGGATGATGTTTCTGAAGAGGTTTTAAGGTTCAGTTGTCCCAAGTTGTGTATATTTTTGAGGTGTTGTTGTTGTTCATGAGATTCTTTTGAAATCTTGGGTACTGGATTTTCATTAATTTTATTAGCAACAGAATAGAAAAGTGATAGTAGAGATTCTTTCTTGTCTGATATATTCTCTTCTTGTGATGAAATTTGAGGATATAAAACATTATAAAGGTTTTTCAATGGTTTAATTTCATGACCAAATGTAGTTGGAATGTGACATATTGGACATTCAAATTCTGTATCTTGAGCTAATGATATGGCAAGTTTTTCTGATATTATACAACCACATCGTAGCATAAAAGGATCTGAAATGATGTTGTAATGTAAATTCCCCTCATGGTCTATTGAATTTAGGTGTGTCAATGATTGATTGATTGAATCCTTCAAAGCTTCAAATGTGTCTATTTGATCTTCTGACATAACTCATAACAAACATATAATACAAAGTGTGTCTTGATGGTTGATGTGTTTAATAAATCAATAAGTCTGTTGATATAATACAATATTTGATGAATATGATACAATATGTGTGTGATGTTACTCTAATTCGTTAGTTAATCCTCCAGCTTTCAAGATCTCAATCTGTTGTTATCAAAGTCCATTGTTATCTTTTTCGAGTTCAGAAAATTTGACAGAAAAATATAGATTTGTTATGTAATCATATGAAATATTAAATAACTAGTGATACTAATTTACAATAAATAAAATGGAAAGATCAAAGAGAAACGTTGTAGTTAATGATTTAGTTTGTTCATTGTTTGTACGTCCTTTAAGTTTATTTTTGTTTGAACTCTTTACGGTTAATATGAAGGATGTTAGCTGTCAGTTGTGTCAACAACTTGACACTAAAATATAAGCATAAAAGTCTGGGGGTCCAAAAACCAGTTAACTAAACAACGAACTGTCGAGTGATATTCCGGATATATAGTTGCTAAAGGACTGGTTAAAGAGCTCTAATCCATATAATTATGTACCCAGCTAGATTCATAATTTATAATAAGTGTTACCTCTTGGGGTTCCCAAGGTATATATTGAATTAGATCTTGCAACTTTGAAGCTGTGGTACTTGAATAGTCATGACTCATAATTGATTGGTGGTGAACCAATGGGTATTCCGTTGGTCCTAGTTTCCTGATTTGATTCTAATTTGTACGTGTAATTAGGCTTTTGTGTCTTAACTCTTAAGTAGTGTATAATCGTGCCATACTCTTAAACTCCTTAGATTCCAAATCCTGATGCATAAACAGGTTAACACATTCATATTCACATTCGAATTCCCATTAGAGCACAACAACAGGACAATAAGAGCCAAATACATCCCAATAGCTCAATATTCACATCTCCATTCAATTCTGTATTCATAATTTAGCCATCTTCTACTTCAAAGCTTTCAGTTACTTTATGAGATTACCTCCTCAAATTCTCAATATACATAAGAAATTTGTTAACCCACGTAAAAAAATGCAAATCTCTATTCATTCGATAAAAATTAAAATAAACTAGATGCAAGTAAAATAGTGGGATATCTTGAAATTTAAATCCTCGTTATACAAAGGTGTTCGCTGCTTTTTCAAATGATGTTAATACAAACAATGAAAATTCATAACTGAACGATTATGATCATACATTAGATACAATGATACAATTATCAATCTTCAGATCAAACACAAGACTTCCCAATACCACCATATCTTTGAAAACAAATGCTTTACATGATATGTCTAGTGTTTGGTTATAATTTAATCTACAATCGGCTCACTTCTTAAAACAAATTTGACCCTAATTTTTGAATTATACATATAATTCACAATGCATTATAATTCGTGGAGAGATCAATCCCTATTCAATGGATTTAAGTGGATAAATTTACCCCTTTAAAAATGCTTGAATGGTCATATATCAATAAATTATAATCAATATAAACATCACTTGGAAACCCCTAGATCTTTTAGATTAATCAATTTTCAAATCATTTAGGAAAACTTTAAAACACAAATTTATATATTCATTATGAGTTCAATTGTTAGAACAGCTTTAGTTACAGGTGCTGCACAAGGTATTGGGAAATCAATTGCTTTACAATTAGCTAAAGATGGTTATCAAGTTGCTATAACAGATCTACCATTCCAAGGTGCAAAAGCTGAAGAAACTGTTGAAGAAATTGAAAAATTAGGTTCAAAATCTTTATTTATTCCAACAGATTCAAGTAAAAGATCTGAATTATTTGATGCAGTTGAAAAGGCACATAAAGAATTAGGTTCTTTTAATACAATTGTTAATAATGCAGGTATTGCACAAATTTCACCAGTTGTTGATATTAGACCTGAAGATCTTTCTAAAATTAGTGATGTTAATATTGGTGGTACTATATGGGGGATTCAAGCTGCTGTTAAAAAATTTGAAGAATTAAAACAACCAGGTAAAATTATAAATGCAGGTTCAATTGCTTCACATCAAGGATTTGGTGCTTTAGGTTTATATTCAGCTTCAAAATTTGCAGTTAAAGGTATTACACAATCTGCTGCAAAAGAATTAGCATCAAGAAAAATCACAGTTAATGCATATTGTCCTGGTATTGTATTAACACCAATGTGGGATTTAATTGATGAAAAAATGGGTTCATATACAGGTACACCAAAAGGTGAAACTTTAAAACAATATATTGAAGGTATTGCATTAGGTAGAGGTGCAACTCCACAAGATGTTGCAAATTTAGTTAGTTTCTTAGCTAGTGAAAAAAGTGATTATATTACTGGTCAATCATTCTTAGTTGATGGTGGATTAGTTTATAATTGAGAAAGATGTCTGGAACAACAAAACATTATACAACCTATATAATTATATACTAAATTAAATGAATTATAGTCTGTATGTAATATTGAACAATCTCTGTCAGCACAATCGTGCCATCAATAACTGTTAATTCATATTATGCTAATTTTAAGGTATAAAGTTTCCAGTTATTAAACTCAATTATTTATAGATTAAAATGACGTTTGATACACGTCGTAAGTTTTTCAGTTTTTAAACTTTTGTGTATACGTTTAAAGTCTCAAAGGTTACTCCAACTCTTAATTCAACATCCGAGAACAACCATTAATCAATAACTACTAGTTATCACCATCGTCATTGAACATCTAGTGATAATCGATCAATCAGTCCATCAGACCAACCATTGATCGTAGCTCACTCATCTACAACAGACCTAATTATTGAGTAAAATAAAAGGTTTATTATTTGATCATCACCTATATTCTCCCCGGAAATCACCATTCCCATGTGACCTACAAATCACCTCGTATTTCCATTATCAGACATTTCTTATTTTGGATAATAACAAACCTTTTTCAAATATAATTGCTGGTAATTTTTAAAAATAATTGAGCCTTTCAAATATTGTAGATCAACAAAGCTGAGCAATGACATGCAAATGACACAAATCATCAACTTCTGAAACGATAGCAAGTAAAACACAAACCACTTTTGGGTTACTAGCTTCTAGATCTACATATTGTTTAACTTAAAGTTGATATGTAATTTTTATCAACTTTTATCCCAAAATTAGTGTATTCATTAAATTTTATATGCTAAATATGATATAGCTGATCATACCAAAGATTGAGATTGTTCCAAAAAAAAAATTAAAAAATTGATGCAAGTATTTCATAATTCTCTATATACAATATGTATATGCAAATGTCTGTTTTAAAATCATAAAGTCATTAAATATATGTTTTTTGTTCGTTTCATCAAATTGTGTTCATAAATTTTTGTGTGTGTGTATTTTTGTTAATGTATTGTATATTTGTGGTTTTGTAATTCATCTTATAATTTAATCATTGATTTTAATGAAGAATGATAAGAATTTGTATAATTTGTTAATTGACAACATGGACAATTTGGTGGATGAGGAAATTGTGTTTGATAACCATAAATTGGATATTGAATTGATTGTTGAGGTTGAGGTTGATATTGATATTGATATTGATATTGTGATTGTTGAGGTAATTGTGATTGAGTTTGTTGATAATTATTCATATAATAATTTGGATTATAATTCTCACTAGTATATTGATTTTGATATCCATTATTATTGAAAATATTATTATTTGAAGATTGATCATATAAATTTTGATAATCATATTGATTTGTCTTTATTGGAGTTAATAATAAATTAGAATTTGGATTAGAATTTGATCTTGAATTTGAATTATATTTATATGAATTTAAATTTGGTTTATTCAATGCTGAACAATTAAAAGGTTTGGTTTTAGATGGTGTATTATCATGATGTAATTTTTTATAAGGTGATGAATGATATTCTTGAGAAATTGATCTTTTTGTTGATTGTGGAATTGAATATTGTTGTTGAACAACTTGTGGTTGTGGTTGTGGTTGAGAAACTTGTTGTGGAATCATTGAAGGTAATGGTAATTGATAAGAAACATCTTGAATTGGTGATTTTGGAGTTAATGGATAAGTTTGAATTTGAGTTTGTGTAGGTTGAGTATATGTGAAATTTTGTGGTTGAATTTGTTGAACAAGTTGAACAGGTTGAACAGGTTGAACATGATATGAATTTGATGATAATGGTGAAGATTGATAAATGAATCCATAATTTAATCCAATTTGATATAATTGATTACACCATTTTAAATATTCATCATTCTTCAGAAATACATTATATTGAATTTTTTTCAAAACAACCAATTCCTTCTTTTTTAAAATTGAATTTGTTAATGGAGTTAAATTACTCCAAGTTTTCATTGTATATGAAGAATCATCATTTGCTTTATTTGAAATCATAAATAATATAACAATTAATTCATATAATTCTTTTGATGATTTTCTATTTGAATTTGATAATAATTTTATTCTTGATGAACTTTGAAATGATGATAATTTATAATTTGATGATTGATATAAAAATGGTTTATGATTAACCAATAGATAAAGATAATATAATGTATGAATTAAAGTAACTTTATTTAAACAAGTTGTACTTATTAAATTTTCTAAATCTTTATAATATTGAGTTTCTATTAAACTTGAAGAATTGAAATATATTGACCATGATAACCGTATGAATAGGTCTGAGCTCAAAAATTCATCATCTGTTACTAGCATCTTGTTATTATTCTTGTCAATAGTCATAATGACTTGTTGTTTATAGAGTTTAAGTTATGAAAGAAAATTGTATAACAGCAGCATTTAAATTATATATATCAAATATGAGAGAATTGGGAATTGAACACTAACATGTTAATTTAAACAAAATGTTAATCACTACATCACTACAGTATAAAATTAGCAGTTGTTTATGTCTTGAGAGATAAAAATTTCAAAATTTCTCTTTCTAAATGCTTATGTGTGGTCCTTGAAACGTAAATGCAATCAGCTGCTTTACATAATTAGAAACTGAGAAATGATGTACAAATTATTAATCTGAGTTTTATTTCCTTGGTAAAATAATAGCGATGGGAAAGTTATGATGGGTGGTTACACAGCGTATAATGGAGATATTTACATGGGAATAACTACACTATATTCCTCTCATCAAGGGCTATAAATCCATGTAATTATTTCGTAAAACACTTGCCTATAACCACCATTAATTACCAACTACTACCATCAACATCCTAATAAACTCACGCTAATTCATCAGCAAAAGCGTTGATTTGCGCAACAACAGCGCAGGTTGTTTTTTTTTTTATTTTTATTTTTTTTTTGGATTTGTCTGATTTTCTTTTGTAGGTTTTAAATTTGCTTAGAAAACGCTGTGCATGAGCTCACTTTTAATGATCAGGTGGAAGGGTATTTTGTTAATTAATTCATAGAGTATTGTAGTGATGGTAATAGGAGTTTAATGGGTTTATAGTGTGAATTCATAGCTATATAATGAATGTTTTCTCATTGAATTTACTCCAATGAGTGTTGAGTTAATTATCTGTTGTTAAAATCTCAGAACCTTCTGGCTCTAACTTTCTCCCCCCTGTTACCTGTAGCCCTGTAGCCTAGAGTAGTTTGGGTCTGTGCTGCCTGGCCTGCCTGGGTTGTCTGTCTGGAACTCCCGAGCTCGTGGGTGGCGCGTACCGTTGCGCCCACTGATCAGTGATCTTTTAATTTTGTGTAATTTTCTTCTGCCCGCAATTCATATGAGAGTTTGAATTCAACTACGAAATGATTAACCATGAAATGAACATAGAAAGTATTGGGTTTACCAATTCTGTTACAATATTTTACATGTTCATAATGATACTTGTTATGACTTCATCTATATGGTCAAATTGAATCCTATTTCTCATGACCACAATTCTAAATTCTTCTCTTGTAAGTTGTAAATTCTCCGTGTAAAACGAACGTCAAACGTAGCAGGCTAGCAGCTATCTAGTAATTTTACAAGTCTAGAAAATCGTATTGAATGCACAATTATTGATTGGCTAATTAACAATTTAACAACTTGTCGCAAATTCTGGAAATTTTAAGACCGTACTAATTTTTGCAAGGTATGTAACTTTCTGTTTTCAATTGCATTTCTCATTTCAATTGCTGATGTATTTTCGTATATACTTCAAAAAGGAGTTAATTTATTTTACCGCAAAATTAAATCCCTAACCTGTTAAGCCTATACAAGTGACCATTGACTATGATCACACAAACAAAGCGTTCAACAATTTAACAACTACTAGACTACTATACTATAGAGTTGATTCATTCAAGTTGTTCACCCACGCTATTCGTATCCGACGTATTCCGCTAACTATCTAGTGTTTCTTAATGCACTTCATTCCCAACATCATTCAATTTTTTAACCCCCCAAAAAATCATGATTAACAACGTAACATATTTTTTATATCCAAGATTTCAATTTTCGATTAATTTGAGAATATTCATTCCCCTTGTAACAGTTAGTGGCGAATTAATAACTCTTGGGCCCTGTTAGCTCTAGGCTCACTTTACGTTTGTAATCGGCAATGATAGATCATCATATCATATCCCTAATTTCCTCTAGAACTTGATAGAATTAGCTTAAGGAGTTATGAACTACAAGTCTACAACGTTTATCAGTGTACTTTTAATTTGGTTTTGTATTAATTTGTTAAGTCTAAGACCTTAATTTGGTCAAGTTATTTTTCTTTAAAGGATGACAGAAAATTGAAAATCATCGCTAGTTTTGGAATTTAAATTGAAAACCACATTTAACTTTGCTCATTTCATACAAAATTAATTTAAACAAAACAGATAATCAAAAGGAGACCTTTTTAACCGTTTATACAATTTATACTTTAAGATACTTATCAAGGAGTTAAAATTTTATCTTGTTTTGGTTTCATATAGCATAGTTTTGTTGCTATCTGCTACATAAGTTATAACCCTTGTACACAAGTATTAAGTACTGTTGTCTACATTTTTTATATGTTTTATGTACGATTAAAGTTAAAGGAACTTCGAGATTATTCTTAAACTTCGATAAAACAAAACTTAATTTTATTATCAACATTCAAACATATAGTATTGCTATAGCTTTATTCGAAAGGTTGGTCATTACAAGGCTTAGGATGAAGCTTATACTTGAATTTACTTTTGTATCATAAGCTGTGCCAATTTATGAAGTTTTAAACGGAACGGTAAGTATTGATCTAGATTAACAAAGCCTAATTTTGTCGAAAGGGTCAAATTTATCAAAAATATCCGTTGATTCCAATATGGATACTTAAGGTTGTTTCATAGCCATAAATATCATAATATAATTACATGTAACTTTATGGACTTATTACTGCTCAACCCGAATCAAGAGAAATATCTTCAAAAGAAAGAAAGCAGCAAAATTCAAATACAACCATCGGTAAAGTTTGTTTCATATGAAAGCTAATTAATACTTGCAAAACTAAACCCCTTTGAAATGATAAGACCTTATTCAAGTAACTTTGGCTTGTTGTCGTAAATGTTCATCTGTTCATCTATATCTCAACTGTTATTTGAACTGTCGAAACTGTTAATTTGTAACAAGTTACGTCTTACCTGACATAATTATTTTATTTAAGAGCCAGAAAATTCTGTTGATATAAACTAACCGATTATAAACGAAACTTGAGAAGGAAATATTGCGATTAAACCGTATTCTATACTCGGTAAATGGTAAATGCCTAAAGGTATAGACATGCGCATGTGTAAAGGGAAAAGCGACCATAGAGAAGGTTACTGGGAAGTTGGAACTCTGGGAGTTTGCGCTCTTGACTTGTATCTTTTTATAATTTATCATGATTCATGAGTTCATTATCTAGTTAAGGGTTGATTGATCAGTTCAAATACTTAATCGGTCCAAAAAATTAAGAACTAGCTATTGAGTACGTAGTGGTAGGATATTCATCAAATTACTGGATAGACATCAACATGATCAAGTAATCAAGAACATACGAATAGTAATAATTAAAATCTTAAGCCTCATCATGATTCATAAACAGGTTTTTTCTCATGACGCATCTTGATATTTCGGTACTTCAAATCTTCAAATACGCTAGTACGCCGCCAACGCAGAATAATAAGTTATCAGAGGGGAACTAGGAACTAGCTAGAGCTAAAGTATCCATCCAGATTTCGGTTATAAAATGAAACTTTCATGTGTTTAAAAATTAACTAGTTGTACAAGTTTCCATGATTATTCTGCATACTACCATGTACATTTAAAAATAAACGATCATAAAAATTCTTAACCATTTTTATTACGCGTCTTAAAAGCTGTGTAGTTAATTTTTGGGGCACAATTTGATTTCCTAGTTTCCAATATGGTTCACTTAATAAATTCTAATACTTGATAAATATTTGGTATAGATTTTATACGTTAACGAAGCCGCTAGTACCTAGTACCTAGTTCCTGGTTTTTTTTTAAGATTACGGTTACGGGATATGCAATTTGATTATAATTGGCTGGGATTACTTGACCAATATCTCCGGTTTTTTGAAAAATTATAAATCGAGATAAATCTAGCTTATAAAAATTATGAGATCTAGAAATAAGATTTGTTGAACGGTAGTTGAAATTGGAGTTGATAAATATGAAGATCTTCATATCGTATGATTGAGTAATATTAAGGCTTCAAAATTTAACTTAATAATCAAGCAGTTAAAAGCTTAAACATAGTTGATCCACAGTTTGATAATCTTGAACTTATGTTTCATATAAAAATTAAGGCTAAAAGTAGCACCTTGGATGTTGGAACTTGGTACCAGATTCTTGATGTTTCCTTTAAAATTTATCACTTTGATAAGTAGGTGATTGTTTAATTTATGTAGCTGTAATCTGTGACCTGTACAAGCATCCTTGATTCTTTGAAAATCTAACTAGAGTCCTTATTTTTATCAGCTATTTCAAAAAACAGATTTTAAAACACATGGACTCCAACAACCTAGAACTACGAACCATAAATTTCCACCGGTCCAATCATTAAACAACCTCCTTAAAGTTATAAATAACACCTCAAAGGTATGTACTATAAATTCAAGATCTTCTAGCTTTTATGATTTAATCAAGTTTTTCATATGTAGTTTTCTGTACAATAAATATTCTTAATGCATTCCAGAACATGATTGAAAACTTGAAAACATGAAAACGTACTGTGTACACCATATGATGCCATAATTAAACACTCAGATATACAACTTGCAACAAACAACAGGATATCAACTACGTAGGTAGTTATAGAGTATAGGTCAATGAAATATGTGTATATAATTTAAAGCTTCTAGTCAATTCCAATTATTTAGTTATCTTTCAGTTTTTCAATACTAAATATATGTTAATGTAAAGAATTGTGCTTTTTGTAGGGTCCATATATGATTTTTAAATCCGAGAAAATCCGATGGATTTAAATTTTCAGCCTAATAAACTTTAGTTAAATTATAACGACATATTTATAAGTAAACATTGGTATTTTATTGCTTTATAATACTCTATTGATCATTCTCTACTCATCCATATAAGTTTTATAGCCAAATTCTAAGTTTGAAATTCGGCAAAAATATTATTTTCAATTTTTGTTATTTCAAAGTAAATTTAAAATTTAGGAGATTGATAGATCTAAATATTCTAAAAAAACCTAATTTTTTTGACCGTTTTTAGCCAATTTGAATATCTCATAATATTAATTAACCCAAAATATTACATTATTCTTCATAAAACCCATTAAATCAATATATATAACCACTATAAATTTAATTTTAATATTCTTATCTAGAATATTACTAATCCACTACATAATCATCGGACCCCAGATTTATATTTTTATTAAAGCTACCCAACTGTATATCAAGTCAATATAAAATCTGATTTTAAGTTATAAATTTAATAATTAATGGTATCATGCTTTATGAAATATGGAATTGTTATACAAATACAATAGTCAAGACTCAACTATAACTGAATTTTCATAGCTTTCTTTTATACATAGCATAGCAGCTATACATATAGCAAATCAAATCGCTTACGCTTAAATTTGAGGTGTTTCGTTTTGATAAGCGCAGCATGATACATCAGGTTGGAATTACTTGAAATCAAAAATTATAATATATAAAGGTAGGTGTTTGTTGTTTATTATATGTTATTTCTATTTTGTTGTTATTATACTATAGATCTTTGGGTTTCAAAAAGGTTAATTCAAAATGAAGTTTCTGGTATATTTGTTAGTGGGTTTTATTTTGTTTAGCGGTTAAGGAAACAGTTATTGAAAAAGTAAGATAATTAACAATTGTTTTTATGGGTCGTTTAATACTAACTATTATAATCATCTAGCCATTTTTGAATTATCATGGTAGATTATCAGAAGGTGCAACTTATAATAAGGAGAATAACTCTTTCTTATGGGTTGATATTATTGCCGGAAAATTACATCGTGTTTTCTTATCATCAACTACAGAATCTGAATATTCAATTGATGAATTAAAAAAAGTTGAAGCAACTCATGAAGTTTATGAAAATCCTAATGAAAATTTTGGTGTTATTTTTTTAACTAAAGATGATGATTTAGTCTTGATTGGTTGTAGAGAAGGTGTTGCTTCTTTTGATTTCAGAACAAAAAAATTTGAATATGTTACTAAATTTGGTGAAAGTGGTGATAAATTAAGATCAAATGATGGTAATATTGATCCGTTAGGAAATATTTGGATTGGATTAACTGGTGATTTCCAACATAGTGCAATTGATGAAGGTAAATTAATTAAAATTGATAAATCAGATGATAATAAAATTATTACAGAAGTTCCAAATTCTAAAATTCCAAATGGTATAAATTGGTCTAAAGATGGTAAAACTTTATATTGGACATCATCATTAGAATACACAATTTATAAATTTGATTATGATTTGCACACTGGTGAAATTTCAAACAAAAGACCTCATATTAAAATTAAAGATTGGTTACATGGATATGAATCACCAGAACCTGATGGATTTACATTGACCGAAGATGATCATCTTTATACTGCAGTTTTCAGTACTTCATTAGTCTTACATTTTGATCCTCAAGGTCAATTGGTTGAACAATTTAAATTACCAGCTGAAAGAATCACATCAGTTATTTTTGGTGGTGTTGATCAAGATGAATTATATATTACCAGTGCTAATTTACATTTGGATGATCCAAGTAAATTAAATCAAACTGGTAGTGATCTTGGTGGTGCAATTTTTAGAATTAAATTGGATGGTGTTAAAGGTATTTCAAAGCCATATTATGAACTATGATTGGTTTTGAAGGGACAATAAGTATGTAATATATTGTTAACAAGAATTTTCAATTAGTTCATTTTAATTTTGTTCTGTAGATTAGTTAGACGTTCCATTGAGCAGAGACTAAGTTGATGCATCTGTATGTGTAGTTTTCTATTGGGAACAATAGTCAATAAGTATATAATTTTCTATACTATCTATATTAATTTACTAATCCATTACGTAATCAACAAACCCCAGATTTAATATAGAAGTTATAACTTAACAGTTCTTTACCAAATATGTTAATGAAATTGCTTTTGATATTTCTTTACAATTTCCAATATATACAACTGACATATAATAGCAATTAATATTAATTATAAATGAATATTCAGCAAATTGCTTAATTGATTACACAGTACCATACAAAAAATTGTGGGATTATTTTGATATGTGCAACATGTTGGAATTGTTCGAAATCTGAAAATTACACTATAGCATAAAGTTGTTGTTTATTGTTATATAAACTTTAGATCTTTGCTGTTTACAAAATATATATAAATCAATTCAATTGGTATTGAATCAAGTTCTTGATACTTTTGACATTATTGATTAAAGTTATATATTATTGATCAAAGATGGTTAAAGAAACAATTATTGAAAAAGTGAGTTAAGGGTTATGAAATGTTTAGTATCCTTATACTAACTATAACATCAGCCATTTTTAAATTATTATGGTAGATTATCAGAAGGACCAACTTATAATAAATCCAATAATTCCTTATTATGGGTTGATATAATTGAAGGACAATTACATCGAGTTTTTTTATCATCAAAGGGATCTAAATCTCAAGAATATCCAATTGAAGAATTAACAAAAGTTCAAGAAACTCATGAAGCTTTCGATACTCCAGATGAATTATTTGGTGTTGTTTTTTTAACTAAAGATGATGATTTAGTTTTAATTGGTGGTAAAAGAGGGATTGCTACTTTTAATTTCCGAACAAAAAAATTTGAATATATTATTAAATATCCTAAAGAAGATTATAAATTAAGATCAAATGATGGTAATATTGATCCAAGGGGTAATATTTGGATTGGATTAATGGGTGATTTTGAAAATGGTCCAATTGATGAAGGTAAATTAATCAAAGTTGATAAATCAGATAATAATAAACTTGTTACACAAGTTCCAAATGCTTTGATTCCAAATGGTATTAATTGGTCTCAAGATGGTAAAACTTTATATTGGACATCATCATTAGATTTTATAATCTATAAATTTGATTATGATTTAACCACAGGTGAAATATCAAATCAAAAACCTCATATTAAAATTAAAGATTGGTTACCAGATTTTGAATCACCAGAACCTGATGGATTCACATTAACTGAAGATGAACATATTTATACTGCAGTTTTCAGTACTTCATCAGTATTACATTTTGATTCACAAGGTCAATTGATTGAAATTTTTAAATTACCAGCTGAAAGAATCACATCAGTTATATTTGGTGGTGATGATTTAGATGAATTATTTATAACAAGTGCAAATTTACATTTGGATGATCCAACTAAATTGAATGATGTTGGTGATGATCTTGGTGGAGCAATTTTTAGAATTAAATTGAATGGTGTTAAAGGTATTTTAAAACCATATTATGAATTATGAGTTTTGTTGTGAAGTTTGTTGAGATAATAAGTGTGTAATATGTTGACAAAATTCTTCAATTAATTCATTTTCATTTTGACCTGTAATTCTTAAAGAAGTTAAAAATTCATTTGCTTGATCACATTTTTTTTCTGATGATATTTGTGGATTTTGTAAAATTTCATTGATTTTATGTAAATGAATTTGTAAAGATTTAAAACTTAATAAATATTTAAATTTTTCATCTTGGAAAATTTGTGAATATTTTGAATTTTGTAAAGTTTGTGATTTAATTGAGTTGATTGTTGATGTATTTGTACTTGTAATTTCTATTGAATCATGATTATGATTAGGAGATTTAAAACAAGGGATTGAACAGTATTGAACAGGACATTTTGAGCATTTATATTTAGCTTGGGTTGTATTACATATGGAACACTCACCTAAGATGGCCATTATGAATAACAATAGTCAATAACTAAATAATTCTGTATATGTCTTTATGTCTCTATATAAATTTTTCATATATAATTCTAGAACCGACCATTTTCAACCACCGAATTTCAATTTGACACTTTTTTAATTTTTTGATTTTTTAGTTTTTCTCTGTTTTTGAATTACCTGGAATTTTTCTAAAAGAATTCTAAAACGGTGAAAAATGAGATTGAATTTTGAAATGAGATTGAAGATTTAGCAATTGATTGAATTGATAAATAAATGAATGAATAGATATATATATATATATATATATCAATGAAATGGATTGATAGTATATAGTATTGACTATTACACTATCACACAATCAATCCACACCCTTCTAGTACCCCTATAATACCATTCTTTTATGTAATTGTCTTCTCTATCATAGTCTATAGATCATAGTGGAATAATACAAACCCCGGGTCACCCCTGGACAGGCACACAGCACGGTACACGCCACACCCACACTGATTACACAGCGTCCCATTGGCCAGTGCTACTACGAGTACAAGATATCCTACACAGAACACAACCAGATAACCAGATACCCACTGTCCCTGTCTAGACTCTATTACCTTCCCACCTTCCTTAACTCCTGAACTCCTCCTTCTAAACCGTTCCAATGTGCCTCTTTTTAATTACAAGTTTCTTTTTGAATACTATTACGTGGGTGCTGCCCCGACCACCATCCAGCCACTAAAAATCAAGTTGATTATAATCCGTGCATAACGAGAAAAAATTTATCCATTCATATTCGATTAAATTTATTTCATAATTTGACTTTTTCATATAAAGTTGAAATAATGCACTTTTTAAAAACTTGTTTACTTTTTGTGTATAGATATCTAAATTAACTATAGTTTAATTAATACAAAATGCCAGCTCCATACAAAAAAGGTATGTTATATATACAAGACATAATAGATCATGGGTACTATACATTCTTGTTTTGGCTTTGTGATCTTTGATTGTGCTTTTATTGCTAGTTCGATGTACTAACAATATTTTTAGGTTCCGAAAAAAAAGGTGCTACTTTATTCAAAACTAGATGTTTACAATGTCACACCGTTGAAAAAGGTGGTGCTCATAAAGTTGGTCCAAATTTACATGCTGTTTTCGGTCGTGTTTCAGGTCAAGCTCCAGGTTATTCATATACTGAAGCTAACATTAAAAAAGCTGTTCACTGGGATGAACAAACAATGTCTGATTATTTAGAAAATCCAAAGAAATATATTCCAGGTACTAAAATGGCCTTTGGTGGTTTGAAAAAAGAAAAAGATAGAAATGATTTAGTTACTTATTTGGTTAAAGCTTGTAAATAAACATAGAAGAATGAATAACAAAATCAAATAATTTTATATTTTATTATTAACGAAGTTTCAATGATCCATTATTTAAAAAAACACACACATATAACAAAACAACATTATACACATATTATAATAGAAAATAATAATAAGTCATAATATTATCAAATATTCCTAATTTATAGATTTCATTAAAGAAAAAACCACAAAATAACATAGAATTGTATTATTCTTATCATTTTTTTCTATTTTACTAATATTATTTCAAAATATTTTAATAATAAAAGCATTGTATATATTTTTTATTAAAAATTAATTGTCATATATATTATTACCTGTAGTTATATACTATATTTTTCAACTAATTGTTGACGTTTTTTCATAACAAGATGATTCTCAACTTGTTGTAATGTTAATATTTCATTATCTTCAATTATAATTATATCTTTATCATTAATTATTGGTTCTTTTTGTAATTTTTTTTCAAATTTCCTACTTATACTTCTTTCATATTTTAATAATTCATCTTTAATTTGATCTTGTTCTTCATCTTCATCTTCAATATTTTCACCTATAATCTCATTAACTTGATTCCAAATCATCTTTTCATCACTTTCTCCAACATTTATTTCATCATAATAACCAAAATAATCAAGATTTATTCTTTCTTCCAACTCTAAAAATTTCTCACGTTGAGTTTTGTTTATTTGTAAATCTTGATTTTTTTCAAATTTTTTAGCATCTTGTTTAGCAATTAATTCTTTAACACCAGGTAATTCTTTTGCCCTACCAAAATATCTATACCCTCTAATCAGCACACCCGATTGGAATCCAATTTGCCCTTGACCATGTCTAATATAATCAGTCCCACCTAATTCTCTAATATGATATTCCCATGAATATTTTTCCTTCATTAATTTATTTATATCATCATTTAAATCTCTAATTTGATAATTTGATAACTTATCATCATGTATTTTAGTAATTTTTTGATTTATTTCTTTTAATACTTGTTTCCTCCAATTTTCTGAATCTTTTAAATTTAAAACTTTACCAATATTTCTAGGTCTTTGTGTACTATTATAATCTATATATCCTGATTCTTCTGCTTTTTGTTCTTGATATCTGAAAAGTACTGTATTGGCTTTATCACTGTTTCTTGACATTGTGGTGTGTGTATGTATATGTATTTGAATATGAATTTATTGTGTCAAATGGTTATATCACCAAGTATTGTATTTTATGGGTATTAATTAAACTTTTCTAAATATATCTTGGATTATGTAATGCTGATAACAGTGCTTAGTCAGAATATTTGAAATATACTAAATTTTCACTTTAAAGTGATGATATTTCAATTCAAAAGAGTTTTAACACCAAGTTAACATTGATTATAATGACACAATAATTATAAACCATAAGATCTCTCAAAATACTCTTTTATTCACCAAATTTCATTTCTTTTAATACGCGATCTCAAATTTGATTTAAAAAAAGTAAAAAAATCGCGTTTTTGGCCAATACTCATTGAAAAAGTAAATTCTCAAACTTGAATAAAGTCAACAATTATACCAGGAACTAAGATAAACTAGCTTTAATATTCTTTGATCTTACACCATCCAAGAATATATCATGTCTGGCACAAAAGTCTTCAACGCAGTGCGCAACACTCGCTTCATAATAGGTGCTCTGGTCATATTTGGTATAGTTACATTCTTAATAGCTTCACCTGGTAATGTTAGTGAAGGTTTATCAAAATCAAAATTAGGTTCTATTGATCTTGGTTCAACAACAAATTCTCCTGTTACAGGTGAAGAAGGTGAACCTTTATATCCACCATCTCCAAACCAACCACAAACTGGTAATGATGGTGAAGTTATTGGTAACTCACCTCAATATGCTGATGATTCAATTGATTCTAAAAAACCAACAACTAATGATGATGATTCAAAGGAAAAAATTGCTGATGTTAATACCCCAAAAGAAGCTCCAAAACCTAAAATGAATGAAAAAGCTCCAATTAAAGGTGAATTTGATGCTATTAAAGATTCAAATAGAGTTTATGAAGGTGTTCCTGATAAAGATTCTGATTCAAATTCTGATTCAAATGATGTTTCAAATGATTTATCAAATGATTTATCAGATTCTAAAAAAGAATCTACTCAAAATGTTGCAAATTGTAAAAAAGATCCAGAATATGTTGTTATGATTGATGCAGGTTCTACAGGTTCAAGAGTTCATATTTATGAATTTGATGTTTGTTATTCTCCACCAAAATTAAATAAAGAAGAATTTGAAATGTTAAAACCTGGTTTATCTTCATTTGATACTGATACTACAGGTGCTGCTAAATCATTAGATCCTTTATTAGAATTAGCTTTGAAAACTGTTCCAGAATCAAAAAGATCTTGTACACCTGTTGCAGTTAAGGCAACTGCAGGTTTACGTTTATTAGGTGAAGAAAAATCAAAAAATATCTTAGCTGCTGTTCGTAAACATTTAGAAAATGATTATCCATTTGCCGTTGTGGAAGGTGATGGTGTTTCTATTATGAGTGGTGATGATGAAGGTGTTTATGCTTGGATTACTGCAAATTATTTATTAGGTAATATTGGTTCAAGTGCTAAAACTCCAACTGCTGCTGTTTTTGATTTAGGTGGTGGTTCAACTCAAATTGTTTTCCAACCAGATTTTAAAAATGGTGAAAAAATGATTGATGGTCAACATAAATATGAAATTAATTTTGGTAATAGAGATTTTAGTCTTTATCAATTTTCTCATTTAGGTTATGGTTTAATGGCTGGTAGAGAAAAAATTAATTCATTAATTGTTAAAGCTGGTATTAAAGATGGTAAAGTTAAAAAAGATTCCAAAGCAACTTTAGAATCTCCATGTATCCCACCAGGTTTATCTGTTAAAGATGTTAAAGTTAAAGTTGATGATGTTTCATATACTGTTGATTTAAAAGGTTCAGAAACTCCAGCAGGTGCACAATGTAGATTCCTTGCAGAATCAATTTTAAATAAAGATGCAGCATGTGATAAAGCTCCATGTTCTTTCAATGGTGTTCATCAACCTTCATTAGTTAAGACATTCCATGAAACTAGTGATTTATATGTTTTTTCATATTTTTATGATCGTACAAATCCATTGGGTTTACCTTCATCATTCACATTAGGTGAATTATCAGATTTAGCTAAAAATGTTTGTAATGGTGAATCAGTTTGGGCTTCAACATTTAGTGCAATTGATGGTTCAATCAAAGAATTAAAAGATGAACCTCAATGGTGTTTAGATCTTTCATTCCAAGTTGCTCTTTTACATACCGGTTATGATATCCCATTACATCGTGAATTAAGAACTGCTAAAAAAATTGCTGATAATGAATTAGGTTGGTGTTTAGGTGCTTCTTTACCGTTATTAGATAAAACTACTGGTGGTTGGAAATGTCGTGTTAAAGAAGTTGCCAAAAATTAAGGAACTTTCATAAAGTATACAATATTTAAAAGCTTATATATGAATTCAGTTAAAATATATTAAACAATTGTTTTTAGTTATTAAAAGAATTTTGAGAATATTATATTTATATTTGTAGTTTAAATGTATTCGGAAATTATGGTTAAAGGAGTATAACGCTTTTAACGGGTTGATCTCTGCAGCTCTAAACTCTTGATCAAAAATGAAAACCCATTGGCTTATTAATACAAAAATTAGAAAATGATTGATATAATTAACATCCAATATCCCGTTATTCATAATCTAATCAAGTACTTGATATAATTCTCAATTTAATCAAGATCTTCAAATAAAGCGCTAAATATATTTTGATTAATAAAATTGTGGGTGAGCGAAAACCGTTGGAAGCAAAAAAAACCCATACACTCTCAATTTTTGATAACCAAAACAATCTCATTAACAACAACTTCATGAACATTATTAATATAGAAGAAGAAGCTGACTTAAACATTCACTAGAAATTGATCAAATTAGAACCCATATAGAAGAACCAGGAAATGCATGGACCAATACAGGCTAAACAAAAGAGTCACTCACAAGTCCCAACAAAAAAGGATCTTGAAATGACAAATGGTGAAGATACCAAAACGCTGCTTAAAAGAATTTCAAACAGTTCCAATGACCTAAAGCAAAACAGATCTCATCAGAATTTATCAGAACAAGCACATAATGTACGATTACTCCAAAAGAATTTATCGAAAACCACAGTTAAATTAGATGCTAAAAATGTATTAATAGTGACGAAGGCAAGAGATAATTCATTAGTTTATTTAACAAGAGAAATGGCCGAATGGTTATTGATTAATTATAAAAATTTAAATGTTTATGTTGATTATCATTTAGAAAGATCAAGAAGATTCAATCCACAAAGTCTGATTAGAGATATTCCAAGAGCAAAGACAGCGCTTAAATATTGGGATAAACGATTTATTAATGAAAATTCAGAATTAATAGATTTAGTAATCACTTTAGGAGGTGATGGTACTGTTCTTTATACTTCATCATTATTTCAAAGAAGTGTTCCACCTGTGATGTCTTTCAGTTTAGGCTCATTAGGATTTTTAACAACTTTCCAATATGAAGAATTCAGAGAAACTTTGAAAATTGTATTAGAAAAGGGAATTAGAACAAATCTTCGAATGAGATTATCATGTCGTGTTCATAAATCAGATGGATCTTTAGTATGTGAACAACAGGCTTTAAATGAAGTCACAATAGATAGAGGTCCTTCACCTTTTGTATCAATGTTGGAATTATTTGGTGATGGGAATTTATTAACTGTGGCACAAGCTGATGGGTTAATTATCGCTACACCAACTGGTTCAACTGCTTATTCATTATCCGCTGGCGGGTCTTTAGTTCATCCAAATGTTTCAGCTATTTCTGTTACTCCAATTTGTCCTCATACTTTATCATTTAGACCAATTTTATTACCTGATAGTATGGTACTGAAAGTTAGAGTTCCTAAAAGAAGTCGCTCCACAGCTTGGGCTGCATTTGATGGTAGATCAAGAGTTGAATTACAAAAAGGAGATTATGTTTCTATTTCTGCTTCACCATTTTCAATGCCAACTGTAATGTCATCACCAACTGAATATTTTGATAGTGTAAGTCGTACATTAAATTGGAATATTAGAGAACAACAAAAATCATTTGTTCATTTATTATCAACAAAAAATAAAAAAAATTATGAAGTTAATCAATTATCAAAACCAAAATTTAAATTAAATATGGATTCTGACTCCGAAAATTCTGAATCTGAACAAAATGAAAGTGAAGAACAATTTGAAGCTGGTCATGAATCTCCTGATGATATTGATGATAATGATTTATCAACTTATTATATGCCTCCTCCTGGTCAAGGTATTGATACTCCACCAGTTATAAAATCTCATGCTGCTACCCCAACTTTAAGTCCAAGATTTAAAGGTTTAGATGTATCAGCGTTAACACTTGATAAATTTAAAAAATAAAAGTTCACAATTTAATTTAACGAGATCCATGCCCTTCGAACATAACAATTTATATAAGAATAAAGATATATTATAAATAATTATATACTCTACAACAATTAATATAATTAATGCTTAATTTCAAAAAAACTATTCATGTTTATTAATCATTATCATCTAAATCATCTATAAAATCATCATTGTAAATCATCATTAAAAAAGTAGTTTTATCATTAGTAGCTCTATATTATGTAATCCGCTATTATTGTAATCAAGTAATTATGATTCAACACCAAAAGTTCAAAATTCTTTTATATAATGGCCCTTGTTTTAATTTATCATCAAGTTCTTGTTTTTCTTGTCCTAAAACATCTGCTTGGAAAATTGTACGATCAGAAACTAAATCAATATCTTCAGCTTTAATGTATAATTTCCAATTACCAGAATAAATTTTATGACCAACGTAAAGACTTAAAAATGAAAATAATCCAAGATAATTTTGAAAAAATGAATTTGCACTTGGTTTACCATCATTATGGAATGGGAATAATGAAACCCAAAAATGCGAAACCAATACAAAAACCATTAAAATCAAAGCAACAAGTGAACCCCAATAACCAGTCATTGAAACATAACTCAATTCATTGACATTTAAACCTTGTACATGCATAGCTGATCTGAATCTCAAATGACTCAAGGTAATTAAACCCCATGTGAAAATAGTTGACAAACCGGAAAGTGATAATAACCAAGTGAAAATCATTTCTTGATCTTCATAAGCAGCAATAAAACTGAAAAGACCAAAAATCAAAGGAATCAACATAGCTCTTAATGGTCTATCTTGTTTATCAACATAATCAAACCATTTAGGAGCAAAACCTTGTTGTGCCAATGAGTAGAATGTACGAGCTGATGTGAACAAAGCAGAATTACCAACAGATAGAACGGCAATTAAAATAACAGCATTAATAATATGTGGAATAACAGTGACACCTGCAGATTCAATAGCAATGACATATGGTGATACTGGAGCACCATCATTATGACCTGAACCCATTAATCTATCAGAATTATAAGGAACTAATAAACCAACGATGAAAATTGAAAGGAAATAAAAAATCAAAAGTCTATAAAAGACTTGTTTAATAGCGGTTGGAATGGCCTTTCTTGGATTAGAAAATGAACTTGCACTCATAACAGCAAATTCAGTACCACCTAGTGAGAAAGTTGAAGTAACAAAACACGCACAAACACCTTTAAATCCATTAGCAAAAGGACCAGGATCTTGAAAGTATTTAGCGCCAATATATCCTAAATTACCAGCTACACCAGTATCAATTAAGAGACCCAAAATAATAAATCCCGAAATCATTAAAACTTTGGCTAAATTGAACCAAAATTCAGCTTCAGCATAACCTTTAGCACCAAAAAAATTGATCAAGATAACAAAGACTAAAAGGATAGCCACAAAAATATCTGGATTAATAGTCTTATTCCAGAAACGAATAGTCATACTGGCTGTGACCATTTCCAATGGTAAGACAGTAAGCCAATTTAATGCATAATTCCAAGCAATTGCAAACCCCAAAGATGGATCAACTAATTTAGCAGCATAAGCATTGAAACCACCAGTCAATGAAGAATAAGAAACAGCCAATTCACCCGCAGCTGACATAGTTGCGAATAACATAACACCAATGATTCCATATGCAATTAATAATCCACCTGGTCCACCAAGAGATAATGCACGACCATTACCAACCAACAAACCAGTACCTAAACCACCAGCCATTGCAATCAATGCAACATGACGAGAAGACATACCCGGTGCTTTCTTCTTCTTGGTTGAAGGATCTTGTGCTTCTAAATCATCTGAATCATCTTGTACCTCTTCCTTTCTTTGGAAACTGTCTTTGAATCTTTGCCATTTGGTAAGTTGAGTTTGACTCATATCGCCTTTTTCAATTGTTGCAACATTGGTGAGACTGTTAGTAACTTTAGTAATATCTTTTCCAGGTGATGAACGATCACTATCAGTGTCATTAGTTGAAGACGGTGAAGCCATATTATATTATATTCTCTTTTACTTTTATGTTTCTATAGCTTATATTTATAATTTATAATGTTAATCACTCGTGACAAGTATTGTAATAAATCTGTAGAAAGTGTTATATGTTAAATAGATGAAGAATCAATATGAAAAAAATCCAGAAGAATGTTAAGTCAAGGAAACTCCTTTTATAAGTTTCCCAAATCATCGAGCCCTGTTTATTTTCTGTTTGATTGAGGCTTATTAAGAGATATTTTTTGATCGAAAGAAAAAAGTTCTCATTGTTAATCTTTGGAAAAGCACGCTATGAAAAGCCGTTCAGAAAAGTATTTGTCTTTGTGATTTGTGATTATATGAGAAGAAAACGTTTTGAGGTTAACATTACCGGGCAATTTGAACAGAAAATGGATCCTAGATGCACTTTTTGGTTCGAGTCAAAGCTCTTGTAGGTTCTTTTTCCAAGTTAACAGCGTCATAGATAGAGAAATTAAAATGTGTAACCGCTGGGTGACATTGGCTTCTATAGCGCTTTGAATAGCACCTTTAGCTACCAGTTTGTATTGTAGAGCACTAGCATATTCTTGTTTTTACCCTATAGAGCACCGATATATTGAACATCATTAGATTTGTGAACCTCATTCATGGTATTGTGGATTTAGACGCTGTTAATCAAAGTTAATAGATTCAGGATTCATGATGATCAACTCATTCAAATTGGTTGTAATCATCTATAAATGGTACTGACCACACAATCGCTTAGTCAGTAATTGGTAATACTCAGGTGATGCGTCACGTGGACAAAACTTACCCTTTCGGACGCGTCGTTCAGTGGCGAAAAATGCGAAAATTTTTTTTATAGCTTGTCCTGAAAAAGAAAAAAAAATAGACATCATCTCTAAAGAAACGCTGATATAAAAGCAAAGCGAAAGAACGAGACACTTGATCTCTTTATAAATAATTGAATTAACAAGATTATATTAAACAACATGTCAAATATTGAAGACAGTTTCCAAAACATGAACATTAACGGCGGTGCTAACGCTGGCCGTGGTGGAAAGAAAGGTTATGTTCCTCCTCATGCTCGTCGTCAACAACAAGATGGCGGCGCTTCACCAGCAAGAAACTTTGATAACTCATACTCAAATGGCGGTGGTTACGGCGGTGGCTACAATAATGGTGGTTTCAACAGAGGCTACTCTAGCGGTGGTGCTTTCGGTGGTTACAATAACAGAAGAGGTGGCCGTGGTGGTTTCAATCGTAATGGTGGATCTGGCGGTCGTTTCCAAAGTGCTGATCAAGGTAGATTTGTTGATGGTAAACATGTTCCAGGTCAAGCCAATGCAAACGTAGAGATTGAATTATTCGGTGCTGCTGATGATCCAAAATTCCAATCCTCAGGTATCAACTTTGACAATTATGATGATATTCCAGTTGAAGCTTCAGGTGATGGTGTTCCAGAACCAATTGATTCATTTACTGCTCCTCCATTAGAAGAATTATTACTGGAAAACATTAAAAAGGCTCGTTTCACTAAACCAACCCCAGTCCAAAAATACTCTGTTCCAATCGTTGCTGCTGGTCGTGATTTAATGGCTTGTGCTCAAACTGGTTCAGGTAAAACTGGTGGTTTCCTTTTCCCAATTTTATCAGAATCATTTTTAAATGGTCCATCTGAAGTTCCTGAACCAACTACTCAATTTTCAAGAAGAAAAGCTTATCCAACTGCTTTAGTTTTAGCTCCAACCAGAGAATTAGTTTCTCAAATTTATGATGAAGCTAAAAAATTCACATACAGATCATGGGTCCGCCCAACCGTTGTTTACGGTGGTTCTGATATTAGAAGTCAAATCCAAGATATCCAAAGAGGTTGTGATTTATTAGTTGCTACTCCAGGTCGTTTGAACGATTTATTAGAACGTGGTGTTATTTCATTAAGAAACATCAAATATTTAGTTTTAGATGAAGCTGATAGAATGTTAGATATGGGTTTCGAACCACAAATCAGACACATTGTCCAAGAATGTGATATGCCACCAGTTGAAGAACGTCAAACTCTTATGTTTTCAGCTACTTTCCCAACTGATATTCAAATGTTGGCTCGTGATTTCTTGAAAGATTATATTTTCTTATCTGTTGGTAAAGTTGGATCAACTTCAGAAAACATTACACAAAAAGTCTTATACGTTGAAGATGACGAAAAAAGATCAGTTTTATTAGATATTTTATCTGCTGATGAAAATGGTTTAACTTTAATTTTCGTTGAAACCAAGAGAATGGCTGATGCATTATCAGATTTCTTAATCAACACCAATTTCCCAGCTACTTCTATTCACGGTGATCGTACTCAAAATGAACGTGAACGTGCTTTAGAATACTTCAGAAGTGGTAAAGCTCCAATCTTAGTTGCTACAGCTGTTGCTGCAAGAGGTTTAGATATTCCAAACGTTACTCATGTTATCAACTATGATTTACCAACTGATATTGATGATTATGTTCATCGTATTGGTCGTACCGGTCGTGCTGGTAACACAGGTGTTGCTACTGCTTTCTTAAACAGAGGTAACAAAAACGTTGTCAAAGATTTGATTGATATCTTATCTGAAGCTAACCAAGAAGTCCCACAATTCTTAAACACTATTGCCAGAGAATCTTCAGGTGGTCGTGGTGGTCGTGGTGGCCGTGGTGGTCGTAACAACAACACCAGAGATTTCCGTCGTCAACCAGGATTTAACAATGGTGGTGGTTCATTCGGTGGTTACGGTGGTGGCTACAACAATGGTGGTGCTTCATATGGTAACTCATTCGGCGGTGCTTACGGTAACCAATCTACTCGTGGTGCTGGTGGTGCTGGTGGTGCTTTCTCATCTTACCAATCATCAAGTTATGGTAACCCATCTTCATCAGCTAACAGTTGGTGGTAAGCTTATTCAAGCTCTTTTCAAAGGGTTTGAATCCTCATTATTTGTTTTTATTTGGTTTTAGTTATTTGATTTTATAAGTGTTTTTCATGGTGTCATGCGCAGTCAAAATGTCTCAATCGCTTTTTTAGGATTAGTTTATCATATTTGGGATCCATCATTATGTGATTATCATTATATGATTCACAAGGAGGTCTTTTATATCGAGAGAGAATGAATTGAATTTTGAATATTAATATAACGTTGTTATATTTCATTAATTTATATATATTTGAGTTTTTTTCAGTTCATTTTCCGTTGTTAATTAATTTTTTTGTTGTTTTAGAATTGAAGTTTCTTGGGTTTTGCATTGATTTTATTTTGGTTATTCAAAAGTTATTATATTATTAATTAATTCAAAACGTGGGAAATTTGTTAGGTCGATAATTTTTATTATCATGTGTTCATAATAGAAAAAGACATGAATTGAATTTTTGTATTTTCAATCATGATCATTATATATTCATGTTTTGTTCTTGTTGGGTGTTTTTTGTTGAAGGGTTATTGTATAAACAGAATGTTGAGTTTGTACATTAAGAAAAGGTAGAACAAAAAAATTATTATATAGAAGAGCTGTTTATTTGTTATTTGTATTTTTAGGGTTTAGACATTGGGATATTGTGCATTACATATAGTATAAAATATATTAAGTATCATATTTGAATCTTTATAAGTAGTATATCATTGATAAGATAACCACTGTAACATTAGTATATTGATCTGGCGTTTGTGCGAGTTGAGGTATCCAATATTTCGGTAGCGGTTATAAGGGAGCTTTCAACAATCGATTAATATTTTAAATTTTAACCACTTTTGCTTAAAGTGACACACACCACACCTATATTTATTATTCATAATCACGCAGCAATATATTAGCTCCTATTTCATATGCAATGATGGTAATATGGTGATATATTATCTTTAATCTGGTATAGTTCGTAAATCTCTTATCGTACTACTTCTCTAGCTATTCGAAGACTTATTATCATTGTAACAAGAACCAAGTACTTTCAAGTATATTCGCTACAATTTTCTACCGAGCTATCGATTTAACATTAAACAATATCTAAGTTGTAGACAACTTACCTTTGAACTTTAAATTCTAAACTTAATGACGATGATCTAGTGTGAGACATAAATTAAGATTGTAAATCCCTTTTCTTACAGAAGCCAGATTGCGATTAATGTAAATCTTTTGAACTAGTGAATTGTAATGGGTACCTCAAAAGTCCATAAGATTAAGTCTGGTTGGGAAAGCTTATTACTTGAACTTTAAATGAAATGTATGTTGATTCCAGACCTCCTAAACAATAGTAGTATATGTATTGATAATGGAAGCACTGGTTTATATGAAGCTTATTGATAAAGTTAAGAGTACATACACCAATGTACCTTCAATCAGTTAGTATAGCTGATAAAGCATCAGTACGTCGTCTTTATTAATTCTCCCGTCTCCAGATTCAGATAGCAGGTCCTTCTGAAACAGACAATTCAAGAGTTCGTGAATTAAATATATCGGGAAGCTGAATAATTGACCAGTTCCTTTAACCTTCTTTTTTAAGCAAGACCTCTTAAAGAAAGTTCATTAACATTGACAACTTATATTTGCATCTGCTTCATATATCCACTGATGCATCGCTGCAACTATAAAGTATGGTTAATTGAGGAGTACTGAAACTAAATCTAGAGAGTTGAATCTTACCGGTAAAATAGCTGGTTGATCAAGATAGTTTATAAGCAGGATAACAAAGTTGTGTAGTAGTAATATTAAAAAGGCCGTAATTACGTCAAAAGCAACTTGTTTGAAACCTGTGAATTACATCTACAGACAAAGGGCTTGGTCGCTAGGTTCAGATTAAGGTTATAGCTGGTGATTTTATTATAGTAGATTTAGTTAAGCATATTCTAGATCATATGAATAATATATGTGATGATGGTTCATAATTCCCAATATTATTTAGTACTTGCCAGCGCTAATTAATTTATAATATTCATCCGGTGGAACAGCTTTATATATTGACTACTTATGCATATGAATTCTTTAATATAAAGATTTTCGATAGACGAACAAGCTTTATCGAATAGCTCAACTAGATGAATGCGTTGAGGTACAAGAACTTTAAACTTAAAATTAGTACTGTTTAATTAGCTGCTTAAAAATAAGTTGGATTAGCCGAAGCATTATCAATGTAACGGCTCGAGTTAAATTGGCTTGGTGATCCTCAATCGGCAAGAGTTATGATCGTGGAGCTTGAAATAAATTCATATTGTAGCTGATCATGTTATAGAAATTGATCTTGGAAATGGAGCGCTAGGTAGATTAGTTTAATAAAAGGTTCTGGAATCTAGGACATTATACGTCTGATTGAATTGGGGCAATCTAACTTAGTATATACCTTAGTTCAAACTTCAGAATTATATAAAACACAAAAGATGTACCTATATACCTACTTTTGTATGGTCATATGTTCATATCCTAGATCATAGCGTAGTCTTGTCAACTAAAAATTAATTTGAATTTTGAAACGGCTGGGTAGAATAATGAAAGGCTGGGCCATCTAGAGATGAGTCTGTAAGTATCAGTAGTGGGTATAGATGGAAGACATAACTTCAGCTTAATGACCCTGCGATTGAAGTAAACTGATGTATTTCGATGTGACAGGAACCTTTGGTTATAAAGACTTAAACCAAACGGACACCTCCGAATGTATCAAAATATTTTATAGGCATGGAAGTAGGAGGAGGAATTTGATTATCATGAAAGATGCACGGAAGGATTATTAACCTTCATTTTAATATTGTATGAATATGTATGACTTCTTATATTTTTGAAAGAGGTTTCAAGTTTCAACGTTTCAATGCAAAATTAGTGAATAGCGATTACTTCAGCTTTGAAAGAGAGCTTAGAAATCGGAAACACTTTACATCGAGTAGCATAGCTCTGCGAATTTAATGAAGTAAAGCTCCAACGCTGAACCGAAGCTACTAACTTCTAAGCCTGTTGATTTCAATTTTCAAGCATGGCTCAAATATCAGGCGCCAGATAGCAGCTGACATTCAATTTTAAAAGCCAATCATTATGTAGTAACTGTGAAATATTGATTATAGCTAGGCGTATAGCAATACTGCCCTCAGGTAACAGGTGTATCTTGGACAAAGAGAAGTTTTCGGATCAGGATATGGAAAGATCAATATTGTAAAATATGGCATTGACGTTCTAGAAGCTGGTTCATCTTTAAAACAAACCAGAAATTATCTACAAGTCCAAGACACAATAAAATCTTTCCAAAATGAGTTGATAGAGTATAGTAAAGGAGTCAGAATGTTATAATTCGATTCAGAGTATCTGGTACAGTTGATTAGGCTTCGATTAGCCGTTTACAGATGAGATCAAAACTAAATGTTAAATATATGTAACGTGTCAAACAACCCAAACAATAGGATTACTCAATATGGAGTTTTTTAGCTTCAAAGTTTCGAACGTCACCATATTAAATAATCCATGCTGTTCTTTAGCTAGTTAAAAAGTTCTTCTCCAAACGGTCTCCAAATTATTTAAAGCACCGTGCACTAAAAATTTGGTACGTAGAAATGAATCACGTACGTGTACCTCTCATGTGTCATGGGCTCGTAAATGCTTGCTATACCGAAAGTTGCAGAAGTAATCCAGCAGCCTATAGTTAACAAAGAACTAAATTTACAACTGTACGTTTGCTAGACAGACCAGACTGGAGACCGACGTATAAAGCCCAAGTGGAAGACATCACGTCAAAACTTCTTCGTGTCGGTAGGCTGATAATAGATAGACTCTATACTAGTAGATTCAAGCTAGTTTTTATACGAAGTCTATTGAATTGCACTTCCAAGTTTGAATGGGGAAGATGTTACCATAAATACCGTCAGACACAATTTTCCGGAATACGATGAATCACGATTCACTACATAACTTGTAGATGTTAACCAGCTACATATGATGTGATTTATATATACTACACCGTACAAATTCGAAGTCAATTTTGAATTATATTAATGGTTATTCCTCATGGAAAGCAAGATTGGTCTAGAGCTTTAAATTAAACTTTACCAGCCAGAGTAGAGCTGCCGTTGAATGGCAATAGCTTAATTATATGAAAAAAGGCTTTCGACGGGATTAATTGACACATTTAGAATATCTCCAACCAAACCATCATATATATAAAAGTTGAAATTACTATCTGAGAGATCCGTTCCTTCCTTGATTGATTCGAATTTTACCGTATAACCTAATTGATCTTGCCAATTAAATATCAATCGAGGCGTAAATACAGTCGAATCTTACCATATATATATTCAATCCAGCTGCAAAGTTTACTATACATCGAAAGATATGTCAAGTGAAGCATCTCAATCTCATCTAGTAGCTGAGGGGAATATGATGATATTAGTTTATTCAATCTTATCAAAATTCAGATAAGCTACGTTAGTAAGTGACATATACATGATTCTTTTCCGTGTTGTACGCGTACCACTTGAACAATTTAGTAAATTCAGTGCATTAAAAAGATTAACTTTTAATTAAACCAACTTACAAGTTACTAGAATAAGAAGTCGTGCTAGTACTTGAAGGTACCAATAGTAAGAATATTATATATCATGGTGTGATACTTGGGTTACGCCCAGGTTACTCTATGAACCCATAAAACAATCTCTAATTTGCTAAATTCATCTTTGACTCAAATATCTGGGACATTTTGACATGATCTAGTTCTACACATAAATTTGAATTCATCTATAGAACCAAACATAAATTCAGTCTAGAGTGTAATTTATGTAAGTTTTGATGATTTGATGTACTTTTTAACGATAGTTAAAGTTTTCATGCACAAATGATCTGCTTCCCGAAAATTTTAGAGTTTTCTGCATTCGTCTGCGCTTAAAGTGGAATAAAGTTTGAAGTTGATACTCCAACAGGAAAAAGAATTGTTTAGATATTTGCGGTGCAGTCAAAAATTATCAAGAGAATAAGTAGTATAAGCTTTTAAAAAGGTTTTTCTCCATCAAGTTGTATAAAATGTTTAAAATATCCTCTTTTGAAAAGCATAATTTAGAGTTGATGATCTCAAGAAATTATTATAAACTTCACTGCATATACTTTATCGCTCTATCAAAGCTATTCCAAGTCTAGAGTTATACAGCTTCAACCATAGATCATTAGTGTATCGAAAGCTGCTAAACTATATTATCATTTATTTATTCATTCAAAAAAAAAACAGCAGTATCATTTACATAGTATAGATCAAATATGAATTACCATCATGATTCATTTCAAGCATCACCAAAATCTTCAATCACTTATGATGAATCATTTCAAATATTAAAATCAAGAAACATGAGAAAACCAACAATTCAAAATGAAGATATTGTTCAACAATTGGAGAATTTTAGATTTCCAAAAGCATATAGCATTACACCAAAGCTGATTACAACTCCATGTAAAGAAAAAGAGGAAGAAGAGGTAGAAGATATTATTCCAATTTCACCAACTCATATTTCAACTGAAGGATTTAGAAGAATATCTAGTGGTTCAATGATGAGTAATTCAAATCAAATTCCAACTGGTCAAAGATTAAGAAGATATTCACATAGAAGATCAGAAGCTGTTAGTGGTGCATCAAGTGATGATTCATTATTTAGTAACTTGTGTTCAACTTCAAAGACATTAACTCGTGATACAAGTATTCATTCAAATAATTCAGTTAGTATAACTCCAACAAAGTTGGAATTTGAAGACATAAGTATAAGTAGAAAATCATCATTTAGAGGTAATTTGAAAACATCCACAGTTGGTACCAAACAACCAATTATTGATTTAGATGTTGCTTCCAAACCATTACAACCTCGCTTAGGTTCACCACTCCCTATTCAAGCATTCCCTCAATATCATGGTGAAGTTGTTGAATTTAATTTCCAAGATGAGAATTTTATATCTGAAGAAGAGGAAGAAGAAGAAGAAGTTGAAACTAAAGAAGATAGTCAAAATCAAGATCAAGATCAAAATCAAGTTCAAGATGAAGATGAATCTAAAGAAGATGATCATTTAAGCCTTTTTGAATTTTTAAAAGAAAGTATTAGTGAATCAAGTCAAAATGGGACTGAAAATTATAATCCTTTCCAACATATTCATTTAACTAGAAGTTGGTGGGCTAGTAGTTGAATATCTCATGGTTATGTGTCAAAAGATTAGGATCATGAATTCACAATACTTTAGGTTAAACGGTGGAGCATGGGATTTACAAGCCCGCCTGTCCATAGCGAATGAAAATTTAGCTCCGGGCTCAAGAATATTTTTTTTTAGGCTGACCGTTCATGGCTCCGATGTCCGGGATTTAGTATAGATTTTTGAGAATAAAGTCAAGATTTTATGAAGGTGTCATTTTGTGATCATTAAATGTTTTGAAATTGTGGTGTTTGTTGATTTGATATATAAGGATCTAATTGTGTCACATTTTTTGCTTCTTTGATTTCCTTGTTGTTACTATTCTATATATGGTTATGCTTTGACCATTATGTTTCAAGATTATATATTAGAACACAGACTTGAACAATATGAAGTTCCAACTATTTTAAATACTCAAAGTTTTGATCAAATTATTCCAAAAAGTTTTATAAATCAATTTAGTGTTGATGATTTATTGAGTAAAGAAAAATTGATTGAAAATTGTAAAGATCATCATAACTTAGTTAATACAGCCTCAAAACAATTTCATAATGAATTTCCAAGAAAACAAAGTAATAATGATTTACAATATCATAATGAAGATGTTACTTTAAAGTTTATTGTTGATTGGTTTTTAAATGATAAGAAATGATTGGAAATGTTGGTTGTTATATTTAATGTTCTATATATTTAAATTTATTTGGTTTTAATAATGGTTGTTTTATTTATAGGTTGGTGTTTTGGTTTTTCATAGTTGTTAGCATATATATAAAGATTAAAATTGTAATCAATTTTAGTTGATACATAATACATAAAGTTACAATAGACTTTTAAAAACTTTTTTCAAATTGTTGTAGTAAAAAATAAATTTCAAAAAAACCTATACTATATGGGTAATAAAACTTTCATACCTCATTATATAATGTAATAAACTAGTAATGTATAAGCAACTGGTGGGTTTTATTTATCATTCATCATCTTCATCGTCATCAATATCTGATGGTTTTGTAGGTACATGTTCTTTTTGATAATGTTGTTTTCTTAATTCAGCAAATGATTTCTTAGGTTTTGGTTCATCCTCATCATCTTCATCATCATTATTTGGTAAGTCAGCATCTTCATCAACATCTTTTGTAAAAGCAGGAATATGTTCATGATGATAGTGTTTTTTTCTTAATTCATCAAATGATGTTTTTGGTTTTGTTTCTTCTTCTTCATCTTGTTCTTGTTCTTGTTTTTCTGGATTTATTTTAACATCAAATTTTTGATCCAATTCATCAACTTTTATTTCAGGTTCACCTAATTTAAAATCATTTAAATCATCTATTTCATCATCATCTTGATAATATTCATTTAATTCAGGTTGAGTTGCTTTTTGGAAAGGAGTTTTAGGTTCATCAATAGTTTGACCTAAATTTTCAATAATTTGTTTTTGAATAACTTCATTATCTTTTAAATTTTGAGCATTCCATTTCAGTTTATCTTTTTCATCATCAGTTAATTGATTTATTTTATTTGGATCAATATTACCTTGAGAATTTAAAATTTCTGGATTTATATTATTTTTTAATAATGCATTTAATTTTGTATTTTGAAGTACTTGATTTCTAAATTCTTGAGCTGATTCAGGAACTTTTGAAATTTGTTGATCTTTATCAATTTTATTCTTTAATATACCGCCCATGATGTGAATTTATTAAGTTAATTAGTGTTATAATTGATTATGTGCTTGTCAGGTTTCCAACAATCTATTGTTTAAATTGATCAACTCCATACTTTGAATTTTGCCATCAAAATCAAATATCCATAAATTCGCGACTCGCGACTAGTCGCGAAGAGTCACAAAAATTGACAGTGACAGGGCATCGTCTACATAACCATTACCCTTTATGGCGAATTTATGCAATTTTTGTAAAATTGCAACGAATTTAGATTATTTTTTCTCTTTCGGGTAAATGTGATACCAATTTAATGCCAATTTGCGTAAATTAATCTTGATGTGCCGTTAAAAATTAAAAATCAACGATATGCTGACTAAGATTTCAATTTCATTTAATCTCAACAAACAAGGGATTCAACAAGCATATGACAAGATGACAAGGTACAAAGATTAGCATAGAACACGGGTATTAAATTATTGAATGAGATATATTAGTACGTGTTAGATTGTAGATTACGAATAGATCTGAAATTTGATGAATAACCAGGGTTGTATTACACTTATTTGTGTTCGTCTATTCTATAACCACTGCACAATCTACATTCTGTGTTTTTCATAGATTCTCTTGTTGACATATCCAGGAACCATTAAAATTAAACAAGTGATACACAATACACAATATACACAATATACACAACAACAATAACAATAACTAGCACAACAACTAGCACAACACCAACCACACTGTACATTAATAAGTCATCTACTCTTCAAATTCCCAGTGTATTATAGTTTGTATTTCTGTATTTTAGTACGCGTAGTCCAACCACGGTACACACCACACCATACAAATCCCAACGCCCAACATTTTGTTGGCATTGGCTGAAAAAATAAATGCGTTTGTTAAGCTCAGATTAATTTGGGCAGATGAGTTGAGACAAAAAAAGTTCCAACCGCCAACAAACAAACAAAAAATTTAATTTATATACTTGACAAGTACCCAATTGAATTACCTTTTAACTAATTTCTTTAAAGGTATCATACTTTATAACCCAATTGATATCCGTGATAATTGAACAGATAGAACACTAGCTACTTATACACCACACCACACTGCTAGTTATCTACAAATCATATTATTACTTGTGTTATTTGCAATCAAATTTGGTTTTATTTCATTTTACCCGCTGAAGAAGTTATACAATATCCCATTTGGTTATTAGCTTATTGAATTGAATTGATTTCATCCTTTGGCTTTATATTCAACTACATTTATATCAGATCAATCCTTTTTGCCGCTTCATATCAAGTTATATCTGGTTATATTTTTTTTGATTTTTGATTTTGGAACAAGACTATACATACAGTATTGAACAAGACAAGAAAGAAATCACCATATCTAATACATTATAATCTTAATAGACTAATATCAATCTCATTCATACATATCATAAGGAGAATTCACATAAAATTATGTCTGGTACTTATACTCCAAATCCAAATAATTCATCTTTAAGACCTTTGATTTTATCTCATGGTTCAATTGAATTGAATTTATTAATCCCAACAAATTTATTATTTGCTGCTTCTCAATTAAAAGAACAATTTGAAAAACAATTACCTGAATTAACTGAAGGTTATGCTGGTGAAGATGAACCTGCTTCTCCAACTGAATTATTAGCTAGATTCTTGGGTTATGTTTCTGATTTAGTTGATCCAAATGCTTCAGGTCAATTTGATCAAGTTTTATTATTAGCTCTTTCAGAATTTGAAACTAGATTTTTAAATGGTCATGATATTCATACTTTAGCTTCAAATTTAGTTAAAGATGAAACTTATCCAACAACTTTAGAAAAGGCTAAATTAGTTGTTAAAAATTATTTTAATGCTAGAATTGTTGCTAAAAAACCATTCAAAAAGAATGATTCTGCTTTATTCAGATCTGTTTTAAATAATGAAGCTAAAGTTGTTGCAATTTTTGGTGGTCAAGGTAATACTGATGATTATTTTGAAGAATTAAGAGATTTATACAACATTTATAATGGTTTAGTTTCAGATGTTATTAAAGCTGCTGCTGATAAATTAAATCAATTGGTTAGATCAACTAATGATACCGAAAGAATTTATACTCAAGGTTTAGATTTAATTAACTGGTTAGAACATCCTGAAAATACTCCATCAACTGAATATTTATTATCTATTCCAGTTTCTTGTCCTTTGATTTGTGTTATTCAATTGGCTCATTATGCTGTTACCGCAAGAGTTTTAGGTTATCATCCAGGTGAATTAAGAGATTTATTATCTGGTGCAACTGGTCATTCTCAAGGTTTAACTACCGCTTTAGCTATTGCTGAATCTAATTCATGGGAATCATTCTTTACTGCTTTGAATAAATCTGTTACATTTTTATTCTTTATTGGTGTTCGTTGTTATCAAGTTTATCCAAATACTGCATTACCACCATCAATTTTACAAGATTCTGATGAAAATGGTGAAGGTGCTCCATATCCAATGTTATCAGTTCGTGATTTATCAAAAGATCAAGTTCAAAACTATGTTGATCAAACTAATGCTCATTTACCAAAAGAAAAACATATTGCAATTTCTTTAGTTAATGGTGCAAGAAATTTAGTTGTTAGTGGTCCACCTCAATCTTTATATGGTTTAAACTTAACTTTAAGAAAAGCTAAAGCTCCATCTGGCTTAGATCAAGCTAGAATTCCTCATTCTGAAAGAAAATTGAAATTTTCAAACAGATTTTTACCAATTACTTCACCATTCCATTCTCATTTATTAAAAGATGCAGCTGAATTAGTTCATCAAGATGTTACAAATGAAGGTTTAGAATTTAAACAATCAGATTTGAAACTTCCAGTTTATGATACTTTTGATGGTTCAGATTTACGTCAATTCCAAGGTTCAATTATCGATAGATTATCTTTATTAATTACCACTTTACCAGTTAATTGGGAAACTGCAACTCAATTTGAAGCTACTCATATCTTAGATTTTGGTCCAGGTGGTGCTTCAGGTCTTGGTGTTTTAACTCATCGTAACAAAGATGGTACAGGTGTTCGTGTTATCATTGCTGGTGTCTTGGATAATAATCCAGATGATGAATATGGTTTTAAACAAGAATTATTTGATTTAAATGATAATGTTAAATATGCACCAGATTGGTTAACTGAATATCAACCAAAATTAGTTAAAACTGAAGCTGGTAAAGTTTATGTTGATACTAAATTTTCAAGATTATTGGGTAAAGCTCCAATTTTAGTTCCAGGTATGACACCAACTACTGTTCATCCAGATTTTGTTGCTTCAACTTTAAATGCTGGTTATCATATTGAAATTGCCGGTGGTGGTTATTTCGATCCAAAAACTTTCCAAAATGCTTTACAAAGAGTTGTTGATCAAGTTCAACCAGGTACTGGTATTGGTATTAATTTAATTTATGTTAATCCAAGAATGTTACAATGGGGTATTCCTTTAATTAAATCTTTAAGAGAAAAAGGTTTCCCAATCCAATCATTAACCATTGGTGCTGGTGTTCCATCATTAGAAGTTGCTACTGAATATATTGAAGAATTAGGTTTAACTCATTTAGGTTTAAAACCAGGTTCAGTTGATTCAATTTCTCAAGCTATTGCTATTGCTAAAGCTCATCCAACTTTCCCAATTGTTTTACAATGGACCGGTGGTAGAGGTGGTGGTCATCATTCATTTGAAGATTTCCATCAACCAATCTTACAAATGTATTCTAGAATCAGAAGATCACCAAATATTTCTTTAATTGCTGGTTCAGGTTTTGGTAGTGCTGAAGATACTTATCCATACTTAACTGGTGAATGGTCAACTAAATTCAACTACCCACCAATGCCATTTGACGGTGTCTTGACTGGTTCAAGAGTTATGGTTGCCAAAGAAGCTAAAACTTCACCAGCTGCTAAACAAGCTATTGCTGATGCTCCAGGTGTTCCAGATTCAAAATGGGAACAAACTTATAAAAAACCAACTGGTGGTATCATTACTGTTAGATCAGAAATGGGTGAACCAATCCATAAATTGGCTACTAGAGGTGTTTTATTATGGCAAGAAATGGATAATACCATCTTTAACTTACCAAAGAATAAATTACAAGATGCTTTGGATAAAAAGAAGGATTATATTATCTCTAAATTAAATGCTGATTATCAAAAACCATGGTTCCCAACTATTGATGGTAAAGTTTATGATTTACATGATTTAACTTATGAACAAATTGCTAAAAGATTAGTTGAATTATTATATGTTAGAGGTTCAAAGAGATGGATTGATGTTTCATTAAGAAACTTTGTTGGTTCATTCTTACGTCGTGTTGAAGAACGTTTTGCTACTAAACAAACTACTTCAGTCTTATCATCATTCAATGAATTAAACCAACCAGATGCTGCTGTTGAATCTGTTTTCACTGCTTATCCAGATGCTAAAACTCAATTGATTAACCAACAAGATGTTGATTACTTCTTATTATTATGTCAAAACCCAGCTCAAAAACCAGTTCCATTTGTTCCAGTCTTGGATCAAAGATTTGAAGTTTTCTTCAAAAAAGATTCCTTATGGCAATCAGAAGATTTAGAAGCTGTTGTTGGTCAAGATGTTCAAAGAACTTGTATCTTACATGGTCCAGTTGCTGCTCAATTTACCAATAAAGTTGATGAACCAGTTGGTGAAATTTTAGATAACATTCATGAAGGTCATATTGCTAAATTATTGAAAGATCAATATAAAGGTGATGCTTCTAAAATTCCAGTTGTTCAATACTTTGGTGGTGAAGAACCAGTTGATGTCAAATTTGATAAAGTTGAATCTGGTAATAAAATCATTTATCAAGCAACTGAATCTACTGATGCTGCTACTTGGTTTAAATTATTAGCTGGTAACACTCGTTCATGGAGACATGCTTTCTTATCAACTCATCGTGTTGTTCAAGGTTCTGATTTTGTTTTAAACCCAGCTAGAAAAGTTTTAGCTCCAGCTAAAGGTCTTGTTGTTGAAATTGAAAATGCTAATGATCCATCAAAAACTATTTTAACTGCTTCTGAACCAGTTCAAGGTGTTTTGAAACCAACTGTTGTCTTAAAAGCTATCAACAAAGATACTATTGAATTATCATTAGTTGAACACAGAAATGTTCAAAATTCTGCTGTTTCATTACCATTATTATACAAATTTAACCCACAAGATGGTTTTGCTCCAATTTTGGAACTTACTGAAGATAGAAATGAACGTATTAAAGAATTCTATTGGAAATTATGGTACACTGAACCATTCAATTTGGATATTGATTTACATAAACCAATTGTTGAACAACCAGTTACTATTACTGGTCAAGCTATTGCTGAATTCACTCATGCTATTGGTAACAAAAATGAAGATTTCGTTTCTAGACCAGGTAGAAAAACTTTAGCTCCAATGGATTTCGCTATTGTTGTTGGTTGGAAAGCTATTATTAAAGCTATCTTCCCAAAGAAAGTTGATGGTGATTTATTAAGATTGGTCCATATGTCTAATGGTTACAAAATGATTCCAGGTGCTTCTCCATTAGCTAAAGATGATGTTGTTTCAACTACTGCTGAAATTAAATCTGTTTTGAATCAAGATTCTGGTAAACTTGTTGAAGTTGTTGGTACTATTCACAGAGATGGTAAACCAGTTATGGAAGTTTTATCATCATTCTTATACCGTGGTGATTATAGTGATTTTGAAAACACTTTCTCTAAAGTTACTGAAGCTCCATTCCAATTACATATTAAATCTGCTAAAGATAATGCTGTTTTAAGATCAAAAGAATGGTTTAACTTAGAAAAAGATTTCAACTTGATTAACCAAACATTAACTTTTGAAATTGAAACTGAAGTTACTTACAAAAACAAGACTGTTTACAACTCAGTTAAATCAAATGGTAAAGTTTTATTAGAATTACCAACTAAAGAAATCATTCAAGTTGGTACTGTTGAATATGAAGCTGGTCAATCTCATGGTAACCCAGTTATTGATTATTTGACAAGAAATGGTTCAGCTATTGAACAAAAAGTCAAATTCGAAAACAACATTCCAATTGCTACTATTGAATCTCGTGCTCCAGGTACTAATGAACCATATGCTGTTGTTTCTGGTGATTACAACCCAATTCACGTTTCTCGTGTCTTCTCCAAATATGCCAACTTACCAGGTACTATTACTCATGGTATGTACTCAAGTGCTTCTGTTAGAGCTTTAGTTGAAAGTTGGGCTGCTGATTCTGTTTCTGCTAGAGTTCGTGCTTTCAATGTTCAATTTGCTGGTATGGTTTTACCAAATGATACTTTAACTACTCGTTTGGAACATGTTGGTATGATTAATGGTCGTAAGATTATTAAAGTTGAAACTAGAAATGAAGAAGATTTACCTGTTTTAATTGGTGAAGCTGAAATTGAGCAACCAGTTTCTACATTTGTTTTCACTGGTCAAGGTTCTCAAGAACAAGGTATGGGTATGGACTTGTACGAAAAATCTGATGTTGCTCGTAATGTCTGGGACAGAGCTGACAACCATTTCTTGAATACTTATGGTTTCTCAATTATTGATATTGTTAAGAACAATCCAGAAGAATTAACTGTTCATTTTGGTGGTGAAAAAGGTAGAGCTATCAAGAAGAATTATACCCAAATGACTTTTGAAACCATTGTTGATGGTAAAATTGTCTCAGAAAAAATCTTCAAGAGTATTGATGAAAAGACAACTTCATTCAAATTCCAAAACCCAGGTGGTTTAATTTCTGCTACACAATTCACTCAACCTGCTTTAACCTTGATGGAAAAAGCTTCATTTGAAGATTTGAAAGCTAAAGGTTTGATTCCAGCTGATTGTATTTTCGCTGGTCACTCTTTAGGTGAATATGCTTCATTAGCATCATTAGCTGAAGTTATGTCAATTGAATCATTAGTTGAAATTGTTTTCTACAGAGGTATGACTATGCAAGTTGCTGTTCCAAGAGATTCCTTAGGTAGATCAAACTATGGTATGATTGCTGTTAACCCAAGTAGAGTTTCAGGTACCTTCACTCAAGATGCTTTGAAATTTGTTGTTGATCGTGTTGGTAAACAAACTACATGGTTAGTTGAAATTGTCAATTACAATGTTGAAAATCAACAATATGTTGCTGCAGGTGATTTACGTGCTTTAGATACTTTAGGTAACGTTTTGAACTTTATTAAATTACAAAAAATTGATATTGTTAAATTACAAGAACAATTATCATTAGAAAAAGTTGAAGAACATTTGAATGAAATCATTGATGAAGTTTCCAAAAAATCTACTGCTAAAGCACAACCAATTGATTTAGAAAGAGGTTTTGCTACAATTCCATTACGTGGTATCTCAGTTCCATTCCATTCTTCATACTTAAGAAATGGTGTCAAACCATTCAAAGCCTTCTTAGAAAAGAACATTTTGAAAGAAAATGTTAAGACTGATAGATTAATCGGTAAATATATTCCAAACTTGACTGCTAAACCATTTGAAGTTACTAAAGAATACTTCCAAGATGTTTATGAATTAACCAAATCTGACAAGATCAAAGAAGTCTTAGATAACTGGGACAAATATCAATAAAATCCAAATTGATTGATATTATATTAGTGTGGTGTTAATATAATTGATTCATTGGTATTTTAGTCATTATTAATCTTTGTTTTTGTTCAATTTTTGGGAGTTTTGGGATTTTTTAACTTATTTCTCTTTGTGTTTTTATTTATAGTGGATTAATTTTTTATCTTCCACTTATTTGTTATTGCTTTAAACTACTCTTAATAATATTTAGAATTATAATAATTTACAAATAAACATTCGTAAAAATTAATATCATATTTTGTTGTAGATTCCCTACTATATTACAATTAACATGTATGGTAGATATATTCAAATGATTATAATATGCTATGGAATGCTAAGTCAGTGAATGAATTGGCCCATTGACCATTTTCAAACTCTTTAAATGATATGATATCTATGCTTGAAAAATATGATTCAACTTTAGAATTATCTATGGTTGGTTCTATAAATTTGTTCTTTTGCTTTCTAGTTTTTTTCTTAACCACAGCTTCAAAACCATCATTATTAGATTCATTTTTATTAATAGTTATTAAACTTGATAATTTAGATAACAGTGGATATTTAACAAATAACTCTGATTTGGTAAGACGATCTGTATGTGTAAGAATATTATTTGCTAATAAAAGTTTTGGATTATTGGTTGATATGATATGATTTGTTAAGTTTAGTGGAGCATGAGGTAAAAAGAACAGTACATCATTTGGATTTAGAGAATCATAAGATTCTGATATTTCATAATTCCATGATTCAAATACAGCTTTGTCTAATTTTGAAAAAACTGGGTCATAAATTGAGATATTTTTGGAATCTATATTAAATTTTGAAGCTAATGATTGTAATAATGATAATTGATATAATGCTGGTTCTTCTTGACTTGGTGATCCTAAAGCAACACATCGTATCTTTGTAAATTTATGAGGATGTAGCGATTGAATAATTTCTTCATATAATTGCGATTCAAGTACAATTTGCTTCTTTTTTTCTAAACTTTCTTTTAATGTTGATTGATTAGATTCATTGGTGATTTCTGGATCTAATATTCCATTAACACCTCTCCTCGTTTTTACCTTGACAAATTCTGTCATTCTTTATGAAGGTGTGAGATAATTAGTAGCTATGCCAGAGAACAGAGCAGCACAATCCAAGGTTCAATATAGAGTATGGTATCACTCATTTGACAGCTTACTCTATTGAAACTAACCAGTTTGATCCAGCCAAATTTTTATTCGATATTTGGTTTCCACACTACCCATCGGCTTAGTACTATACTAATAG